GAGTGTGTGTGTCTGTGTGAGTCATTGAGTTTCTGTATGTCAGTGAGTGTGTGTCAGTGAATGAGTGTATGTCTGTCAGCAGGGCCGCCACCAGAAATTTTGGGGCCCCTAACTGAGCTCAGGGTCTGTGCCCCTGGGGGCCTGCCTCCAAAACTGCCCACAGAGACCGCCTCCAAATCCTCCCCACAGGAATACACACACAGACACAAACACATTCACTGATACAAAAGGACACAGATACACACACACACACTGATACATACTAACAGAAACACATACTGATACGCATATAGGCATACATACTGACACACACACATACTGAGACATACACACACATACAGACACACAGGCGTACATAGTGACAGACACATACTAACATACATACAGACACACATGCATAAGGACATACAGACACATTCATAATGACATAGACATACATTCACATACACACACAGCTAATTTTCCAGCCACCCTCCTGTCTCTTACCTTGTCTTTGCAGGAGGGTGGCTGGGGCTGATGGGACTGGGAGTCGGCTGGCTCTCCCTCTTCATTGCTGGGTGCGCGCTCCTCCCGCGCGGAGTGAGCTGGGAGGAAGTGACCACTTCCTCCCAGCAGCACTTGCGCGGGGGTGGCATTTTTTGTTATTTTTAAAGGGGCCCGGTCGCGCAATACCACGGCCACAGCGCTGACCAGGCCCCTGAAGATATGGGGCCCATCAGGTGGCCCTAAGTGCGTGGGCCACCCGATGGGCCCCATCAGCGTGCGGGCCCCGGTGGAACTGCACCGGTGGCAGTTCAGCCGCTACACGTTATTGTTGTCACCCCCTGATGGCGGCCCTGTCTGTCAGTAAGTTTCTGTGTGTGTATGTCAGTGAGTGAGTGTATGTGTGTCAGCGTGTGTGTCTGTCAGTAAGTGAGTGACATGAAGGGGCAACAAAATGGATCTTTGCCTAGGGCGGCAGAAATCCCTGCACCGGCCCTGAGTATGAGGTACTCAGTGGAGAGAGTCTATGCATTTTTGTGAAAGGAGATTTGGAGAATGCCTTGGTGGCCTAGTAAGCATAAGAGGATATACTGTAAGGAGCCCTTGTAATGGCACCTGGGTCAACCTACACCATTCTCCTTACTCTGCATCATTTTGGCGTCAATTCTGATGTGGGACACTTCCTTACCGGCCTTAAAAATACCCGTGTCATAATTCTGATGCAGGTTACACAATGTTAGCCAGACATCAATATACACGTACATTATGTGTATGCAGGAATGACATAAACTAATTAATAGGCAATACTAGCTATATAAACTGCTCACATGACTGAATACCTGGTTCCCATTGATTTGGACTGGATTATCAATTGTATGATTTCTATATTCAATGACCCTGGCTTATTAACTGACCATTCTTTTGCCATTTGGCCTATCTAGGCATGGCATTAAAGGACCACTCTAGGCACCCAGACCACTTCAGCTTAATGAAGTGGTCTGGGTGCCAGGTCCTTCTAGGGTTAACCCATTTTTTTATAAACATAGCAGTTTCAGAGAAACTGCTATGTTTATAAATGGGTTAATCCAGTCCTCAAAGCCTCTAGTGGCTGTCTCATTGACAGCCACTAGAGGCGCTTGCGTGCTTCTCACTGTGATTTTCACAGTGAGAGCACGCCAGCGTCCATAGGAAAGCATTGTAAATGCTTTCCTATGCGACGGGCTGAATGCGCGCGCAGCTCTTGCCGCGCGTGCGCATTCAGCCCAGGAGGAGGAACGGAGGAGGAGAGATGGAGGAGAGCTCTCCGCCCAGCGCTGGAAAAAGGTAAGTTTTTAACCCTTTCCCCCTTCCAGAGCCGGACGGGAGGGGGTCCCTGAGGGTGGGGGCACCCTCAGGGCACTATCGTGCCAGGAAAACGAGTATGTTTTCCTGGCACTATAGTGGTCCTTTAAGATATAATACTATTTTTGGTTAGGGTTACCCTTCCTGGAATTGCAGTTTTTACATACTATCAAAGTTCCATTTCTGTCTCTCCCATCCTGCAGTGTTTCTCCAATAATGTAGCTGTCTGTATTATCAGGAAGCACAACAAATGTTTCTGTGAATTGTAGTTCAACTGGGAATGGAAAAATCTTGATTATGGAAGCTCTGCTTTTTAAGCAAAATTCATACTAGACTTCAGACAAAATAGGCCCTTCGTTATCTTATAATATCCTTTGACTATGATATCATAGACTGTAAGCTCCTTTGAGCTACCTCTTGTCTCTCCATTATTTTGTATGTCAATTACTTCTTAAAAGATATCCCCATTTTATTGATTGCTGGCGCTAAAGCGAATAATAAAACTATAAAAATAATAATAAAGTTTTAATTAAATGCAATCAAAATGAGTATTTCATAAATAGTGAACATTATGCATACAAAAATAGAGTAGCAGCCTGTAGTAACCCTTTAAATATAGCCTTGCTGTTTGCAATAAAAAAAAGGTTAAGTAACCAAAAGTTTGGTTAACTGGTTACTTAAAGAGACACTATAGTCACCAAATTTTTTTATCTTAATATAGCAGTTTTAGTGAATAGAACTGCTCAAATTTACTGCCATTTAGGAGTTAAATCCCTTTGTTTATGCAGCCCTTGGCACACCTCCATGTGACTTGCACAGCCTCCCTAAACTCTTTCTGTAAAGAGTCATCTAATGTTTATACCTCCTATATTGTAAATTGTGTTTAATTTAGAATTTCTTATCTCCCGCTTTGTTAATAGCTTGCTAGACCCTGCAGAAGCCTCCTGTATGTACTTCAAGTTCAATTTACAGAGCAGGAGATAACACTTTTAAAGTAAATTACATCTAAATGAAAGTGAAACCATTCTGTTTTCATGCAAGCTGTGTGCTTCATAGTCAGGGGAGGTGTGGCTAGGGCTGCATAAACAGAACCAAAAGTGATCTAACTCTTAAATTGCAGATAAATGAGCAGTGAGACTGCAGGTGCATGATCGATACACTATAAATGCTTTGTTAAGCTAAAGTTGTTTATAGTGTCCCCTTTAATCATCATGACCACTACAGCCATGTGTAGTGATTTGATACCAGGAATATCCTGGCCTGGTTCCCCAGTAAGGCGGCAAACCATTTAGCCTCCTTACCGGGTACCTACCGAGCTCCGATGCTCCCAGGCTTCTGCTGTTGACATTCATTGGCTGAGAGAGTCAGCCAATGAATGACATTTTGTGCAATGAAATTTGCACAGAATTGACATTATTCAGCCTGACTGATGATACCCCAATGAAGCCGCCAGAGAAGGAGCTACCACTCTGTCTGTGGAGGAGTTAAACTCTGTATGTACACTTTTCATAGCAAAATGCTTCAAACACAGACTTCAGCCACCATGACCACTTAAAATCAAAGAATTGATCATAACGCCTGGAATAACCTTTTAAGTAAACTGTGATCAACCCCCTGGGATGATTCACTAAAGAAGCAGTCAGGTGAAACAGAAAAATACTTGTAGGAACTATGTCCTGATCTTTTTTGGCTGAAAGGATGATTTTCGAAAAGTTTCCAGACCCCCCCAGTATTATAATTCTTCTATTTGTCAACTAATACATTATTCAACAATCAATTTTCATCATGCCTACACTGTGATAATTGTTCCAACAGGATATAAAATGTACATAAACTAATAAAATATTTTTAAATGTATTTTCCTGTATTTGAATCAAAGAACTGCCAAAATATCACCTGTGACTAAGAAATTCTTGGACTGTGTCTGAACAGATGTTTTACCTGGAAATACCCCCGAAAAAGTAAATTAAAACATATGGAGACCTTTTAGAGGTTATTCATGTGTGATGTCCCAGATCAGGGGTGGGCAATCTGCGGCCCTCCAGATGTTTTGGACTACACCTCCCATAATGCTCTTAGGGCCATAATGCTAGCAAAGCATCAAGGGAGATGTAGTCCAAAACATCTGGAGGGCCACCGATTGCCCATCCCTGTCCAAGATATCAAAATGTTCTATGCAAAGGAGTCTGGGGCATTTTGGTCAAAGGACAAAGACTTGGATTCTGCTTAATGACTTGTATTTCAGAGACCAGGTGTGAATTTCACTAGTTAAGAGCATGTGTACATACAAAGTGAGTGAATATGTGTTTGTATTTATAATCGGCATGATGCATAAGGACTATTTTAACTTGCATATTGAGAATTTGTGTAATCCTTTATAAATTGAGGTGAGTGGATGATTTAAAAATAAGGTGTTTGAGGTTGAATATATGCATTAATGAGTGTGTGCATGTATGGACATGAGCATGAATCAGCCTGTATATATGAATGTAGCAAGTGTATTTGGAGACGGACCATAACTCTCTAAAATCCTTTTTAAATTAATTTACAACTTCCCAGTTAAGATTTACCTTTTATTCAAAGTTATGAAAATAACAAAATAGGTACTTTTTTGGGGGTAAAAGGCCATCAAAAGTGAAGTATTTTGAAATGTTATGTGTGAATAACACGTCTTAAGCAGCAAGATAATAACTCCAGTCTATAACAGTTCCCTAGCTGAAAAGCCTTCCTCACATCTGTTTTTGCTGTTGATCCAAAAGAAGGCAAAAAAACGAGATTGACAGCCACTCGAGACGTTTAAAGCATTCAATATCAACAGTGAGTCCCTGCAGAACAGTGTTTTCAAAGGGACAGAGATGTAATCAGGGTGCCTATAGAGCCCCTCAATCTCTTTGAAGCCTGTACCTTTGAGTGTTTGGCTCCTGCTGAGGTGATCAGGAAAACAAAGGCAGCTCCCACATGCAGAAAAAAACCAACATGTTTATCGTACCAGGAGCTGAGTTGAAGAACAATCGAAACATTTCTTCTGTCAAACATTCTCACACCTTTTAGTAGATCTACCAATCTTACACGCATTGCTAAGAAGGTGCAATTGTTTGTAACATGCATGTAAACAACAGTTATGAATGCTTATGTATGGTCATCTGGAGTTTATTTTGAAAGATAAAAAACAAGTCTTTTCCAAACAGCTCTTCTTTTTATTGGTCGAAAAGAATACAAATGTAAAAATAAATCGTAAAAAAAAAGAAACATGTTGAAGCCCATTTAAACTCTTCAGGCAATCTTCGAATTGCTTCCCACCATTATACTGAATATTGCATAATAAAGTCAGAAAAGGAGAATCAAGTAATGCTGTTCTACGAGCAAATCAGTAGTACAGTACTGCAAAGGAAAACCCTGATAAAGCTAGCATGACACTAAACTCTTTGTTATACTTGCAGTCGGATAGATGGGCCACTTGTCCTGTTTTAATTTTCATTATGTTGGCTTAAAATTAAAAATGCACTTAGATTTTCTAAAAGATCAAAGGTTAGTGAATAACCCCATACTGTTGCTTATTGGCTTCATAATTGAATTAACGGCCAGTGCAGCCCCCAGCCCAGGGGTAGGCATCCTTTAGTAATCTATATGTTATTAACTACATCTCCCATAATGCTCTTACAGCCACAATGCCATACCTCCTACCACTGGCAGTCCCAGAGCCGGGACAACAGTGGCAAGTGGGTAAAGGGGGAGTGCCAATGATGCGATTGCATCACTGACTGCCCAAAAGCGGGCAGACATGCACAAAAAAGGGGTGGACCACCTAGTGTGTCCGTCCACATGACAACATACACCAAGCTACCTGTTCATCATTTTAGTCGGCCCACTGAGGCCTGACCCTGCAGGGAGCACTGTTTCAGTGCTCTGATCATAGCACAAGCCATGCGTTCACGCTATGATTGTTGTGGACAGTTCCCTGGTGTCCTAAATTGAGGGGCACCATGGGACTGTGGCCGGAAAGAACCTAAAAAAAAAAAAAAGTGACTGTCCAGCTGAAATTGGGACTATTGGGAGGCCTGCAATGCTGGCAAAGTATCAGAGAAGATTTAGTCCACAACATCTGGAATGCCTAAGGTTGCCTACCCCTGCCCTCACCAGTCATCAACTCTAGTCACAAGGTAAATCTGTTAGGAACTGTGTTTTGTTATCACTGCTACTGTAGTGAGAGATACTCAGTAGTAGATGTTACAGATATAGGGTGAGAGCAATGAATTGGGACTTGCTATTCCCAGTTGTAATTCCAATGTTTGGATACAGCAGTTTCCAAGTATAAAAATAACAAAACAGGTACTTATAGGTAAAATGATGCGAGCACCAATATTAAATGAAAGTTTAAAGCATTTTGTGGGAAATAAACTATATTTATTTCCCCAATCTGTGTTTTCTAGTTTGATACAAAGGAACCTAGTTAGCCTAGCTGGATTAACCCTAATGTGACCCAAGGTGGCAGTCTAGGGCCCAGGGATTAGAAATGGGCCTAGGCTACCCGGCTGCAGCAGATTTAAACAAACAGGTTGATGGCATGCTTGTCAGTGAGTACCAAGATTGTGTGAGTCCAAGCCTGTTGTTGTAGCAGGCCGGCCGATCATTGCCATTGGCCATGATATTATCAAGCTTGTTCCCGTTCACTGTCCTTAAAAAGATTGACAGTGGGCACAAACTCCTAATCTGTCTGGAGGCCTGTGGGGTCTTAATCCATCTCTGCTAGTTCGGGTCCGCTCTAGGGTTTACATGGATAAACTAGTCTGTCTTACTTGTAAGGAAGACAGAGACTGGAGAGCAAATGTAAAAATAAAATGTTAAGTGTCACTTTAATTTATCATTGGAGGGTCACATATTAAACCAATAGAGGTTATATACAAATAGGCATGTTGCAGAAGTAATACAATACAAATATACAAATTCTAGTCTCAGATTCCCAAATGGCAGAGTAAATTGTAACTTGTAATTGTTGTTAAAGGGGCATTTTAAACACCGTAACAAACAGTTTCTTGTTGCTTTACGATGCAAATATTCTTAATGAGTGACTTTCATTGCTGTTCAAGAGGCTTTGTAACAATAAGAAAGAAAAACTTCATATTATCTAAAAGTGTTTTTGCTGTGTTTCACAAATAAATGGGGAGTGGCACTCCGAGATCCCTTGCACAGAGTGTCCTTTAATGATAACGACATAGAACAATAGCAAATACAAGCAACATGCCAAACAAAGTAATGGTGTGTTAACAAGATTAGACAAATAAAAAGACACTTTAAGCCAGAGCGAAAACAATGATGGAAAAACGCCAGTATAAAGATTTTTAAAGAAGGGTTCATTTTTTTTACAACTAATTTTATACAATTAAAAAAAAACAAAAAAAAAAACAACAACAACAAAAAAAAACAACGCAGGTTTATGTGCATATGCTTTTGTTGTTCTTGGTTTATTGTAAAACTTACTAAAACATCAAATGAAAATTAATAAAATCACCAAAAATGTCATACAATGATCTTGATTGCATGTTATATTTTTAAGTACCAATAACATATAATCAAGATTTAATTAATATGTCTTTGGGAAGGTGTATAATCCTTCAGTACCAGCAGGTTCAGCAATGTAGTGATCTAAAATACCATAATTGCACATCCTTAAATAAATTAAAGGGTCATAAAATGTCTTAAAGGGACATTCTAGTGTTAAGAAGTAATTTGGCTTATTTAATGCATTTAATATTTTTGTATTAAAAAGACATTCATTTATTAAAATGTTATAATAATAATAAGGCAATAAAGGATGCTTCCCCGAATGAAATAACGAGCTAAGAAAGTTGAGTTACGGTGTTGGGCATAAAAAAAATATATTATCTTACTACTGGGAGCATATACGGCATGAGACCCAATGCAATTTCCTACGAGGGTTTCATTTAAAGGGACACTATAGTCACCCAGACCACTTAAGCTAAATGAAGTGGTCTGGGTGCCAGGTCCCTCAGGTTTTAACCCTTTAGATGCAAGCATAGCAGTTTCAGAGAAACTGCTATGTTTACATTTGGGGTTAAGCCAGCCTCTAGTGGCTGTCTTCCGGACAGCCACTAGAAGCGCATCTGCGACGCTGGAGGCACATTTTGCCTCCATCGCGCAAAGCGTCCATAGGAAAGCATTGAGAAATGCTTTCCTATGGACACTTGGCGCCAATGCGCATTTGGCTCCGCTAACGTCGGACAGGGGAGCTGACGTTGGCGGGGGAGGAGAGGTCACCAGAATTGAATCAGTGCTTTCCTATTGAGGATTTGAAGATGCTGGACGACAAACAAACAGCAGAAGCTCCATGAAACAGCAGAAGCACCTCTAGTGGTAGTCTGGTCTTAGCACTGCAATGTAAAAATTGCAGGGTTAAGGGGACAGGGACAGTGCATCCAGACCGTTTCAATGAGATGAAGTGGTCTGGGTGCCTATAAAGTTGATACTGGCTATAAAGTAACCTATCCTGAGTTTTGAAGGGCAAAACACAAAGGAAAATTATAGTAAATATTTCTGTTTGTGTCATTTGCAACTCGATCCATCCCTGAGAAGAGGAACTTTTCGGAATCACAAATCTGATTAACCAACTATTTAAATTATTATACAGCACCGTGACTGCATACCACAAACACCACTCACACCTACTATTTAGCATAGGTATGAACTGAGATAGGCAGCACGATAATGTGCATACACTGCCCTCTGCTGGCAGAGAGTTTAATGGCAGATATAAATTGAATCACATTCAAGAGTCATATTGTGTTGTACATTAGAATGTAAAAATCATCCAAAATGACATCAGTTACTTGTACCTAAAGACATATACCCTGTGATTAGACAATAGCATGTAAAGCTAAGCTAATGATGTGAATATTCTTTACAGATGACGAGAATTGTAGGTTGCTAGTGTCAAATTCAGATGAGCTAACTAATCACAGAGACTAGTTAGTTGATTTCCTAGAAACATGTACATGCATTGTCCACAGAGCTCTGCTCAGAAGGGCAGGTAAAGTTAGGGTTACACAATCAGTAAGAATAGACAGTGTGTTAGATCTATAATGAACTTCCTGTACACACTGTCAGCATAGCTCATAACTTATTACCTTGCCAAGCAGATCTCTTTGGGCAATGTGAGTGCGTTTTTACAAGAGATTATATAACGAACAAGAAATCAACACTAGATCTGAGGTGCCAGAGGTTTTCTATACATTTCATATACTATTAAGATCACTTAAACTAGTGGGATTAGATTTCTCCTTAAAGGGGTTTGCATAAAAGAAAAAGAAAAAACACTATTCAGGTTAGCAATGATGTTAATGCAGGCTTGTCATATACATTTATACAGCTCTTTGCATCTGAAGGGGCAATCGGTACACAGGGGCAAGTGGAACAGAAGCTGTCATACAACTACTCCTGACAATGCCCAGTTAGGGCAGGTAGCTTATACCTAATTTGCACTGCTTGAAGCGGATTGAATAAGTAGACCTACTGCAGAAAAACAGTTAGCGAGTAAAACAAATATACAAACAGTACATGTGCACACAGAGAATACACAAGTTAACAAAAATTGTCAAAACATAAGAAAACATTGTCCTGTAATGTTATATTTTTTGTTCAAGCAATGTCCAGAATACAGTAGCCAAGTATTTGACGATACGGTTACAAAAAGGTTCACATAATATCCTACTACAATATCCATGGAGACACCGAATATAAATTCACAGCTATGAGAATTGTCCTAGACTCGTAGCCAGAAAAGAGACAGTGGACGTATTTACAAAGAGGCTTATTTACTAAACTAGGAAAAGTAGACAATCGACATGGGAATTGGAAATTTATGGCTAAAATGCATTTTGAAAACATATTAAACTATTGCTTCCAGGTCGGCTATTTTCATTTGTTAATTCTCCACAATTCCTAGTTAGTAAGTACACTCCAAATAGTACCTTCATTTGTACTCATTTGACCAGCAGCAATCTTTTAAAGGCAAATAATATACAAAATACAGGTTATGTGTATGATATTTATCTTCACCACATGTGTAGTGTCTCCTATTGTGAGCTTTTGGCTGTGGGTAGTTACAAATTTCTGATATATTTGGATAAATTTATAAGAATAAAAATGAAGCTCCACTGACATGAACCAGACCTGATCCCTTCACCTTAACAGATAAGCCCTTACTCCCACTAACCCTAAACAATGGACACTAACAACTAACTAGACTCTGCATACTCTTAAGACTGAATCCTAGCAAACACAAATTCTATCCTTCTACCCGATTAAACCTCAAAGGTAAAACACAAACACTTTTGGAATTTAATTCTTTTGTTCTAACTAGTTTCAAAAAGAAACCATGGGTATCAATGCTCGAAATTTTAGTCCATGAAAACATTCTGCTCCAATGAGAGGGAATAACCATTAAGTAATTCAGGTAGAGTGAATTGTCTCTTTAACAGTGAGCAGAGACCCTACTGCAGTCCACAGCAAACAAAAGTGGACTGTATGTATCACTCAATATTATTACACTAATTACCTTGAACTGACAGTAAACGCAATACGTTTGATAAACTCTCTAGATGGAACTTTCTTAAATGTTTTATGTTGTTCATTTTATAAAGATATCAGAAGTTTATAGCTGCATACACCAAAACGAACAACTGTGGGAAGACTTTGACGGCTTATTCGGATTATAAAATGTTTGAGTCACATATTTCTTTAAGGTTTATTAGAAAAGGTCTGTTCGGTTCGTGCTACCCATTGCTATTCACTGGTGAACACAGAACAATAAATGGGTAGTTTATAAAAATACTCTTCATTTTCAGATCTCAGTGTTAATGTCTGTGATAAATTGTATATTTCAATGACACACAATACAAAACATATGGTTTAAGAACAGCAAGTGGTAATGTTATTTACCATTTTCACTGCAATGAACAGTTCTAAACAGGGAGTACCAAAACAATGTGCTGGCATAGAATGTCTCGATATTAATTGTCACAAAGTTTAATTGACAGTAGATGGTAAAAAAGTGGATCTAAGATGAAACACACTTAAGTCAACAAACTATTAGCTATGTTTCTGAGCACCAAATAGTTTTCTAGAGTAGTGCCAGCTACCTGGTATTATCAAAGATAAAAGTTGTTTTAGGTTTATCGATGCTGGTTCTATAGAAATTTAAAACTTTTGTATACAGTGTTGTTTCTGACGGGTAAAGCTCTGATGTACCATTCTTTCCCACCAAGCTCACATTACTACTACATAAACAGTAATGAGAGAAGTAGGGTGTTGGGGGCTCTGAGAATATTTTTCAGATTCCTTGTCCCACCTCCTTGCACCCCTCTCTTTCTCACTGCAGAGACGGAGAGATAACCTTGTCATTCCTTGGTGATGAAGCACGGGAGCAAGAAATCTGTGGTTTTCGGCACCACATTCCTGATTGACAGCGTCCTCCCAGTGTGTTATATGCTACTGAGGGGATACATATTTGTATCAGACCAGATTGTACGAGAAGGTAGCAGAGAAGAGAGGCATATGATGTCCAAGGGTACAGTTGACCTGCTCTCATCTAGACCGTCAGGGAGTTGAAGGTTTGGTTGCAATGTGACCATCCCTCAACAAGTATTAGCCAGTGTACAGACACATTAAATGCATCTTCCAGTAAAGAACATCTGTCTTATCTCTGGGAGGTGATAAATTGAACCTTGCTTTGCAATACCTTTAAACTATAATCTGCGTTGTCTGTTAGAGTCAGAAATAAGAACATATACAGTTAACCACTAGTTGATGCCTCAACACGAACTGGTTATATTATATATATATACACTATAAAGGATAATCCCTTAATAGAGTTCCTTTTTAACATTGTACTGTCTCTCTGAGCAGCAATTTGTCGATACCATTAATTCATCTACACAACTGACACGTGAAAAAATGTGCCAGTCTCATGGAGTTCTGTGCTGTCTACACAGTGCCAATAATGAAACAAAAAAATAAGTCACTTGTTGTGGTATATTATTTCTTCTGTACCGTTTTGAATATGGTAAGTCCAACCTGCTCTACTGTGACTTCCCTTAAACTGATCTTTGATGACATGCATCATAATAACTAGTGCTATTAAGAGCTAAAAACATTTCTTTTTGTACAAAATTGGCAAATTTATCAAGGGGACATAGAGGCTGGTTGGAACGCCTTTCATGGTCTCGACAAAAAGAGGTCTGAAAAGTGACATCCTCCCCATTGTAAAGGATTCGAACATAATGCTCTTTTTTCTTCTCGGGGTTATGCCACAGTTCAAAGACCAACCTAGCAGCGAACCGGGGGAATCTGGCTTCAGTGAGACCCATGGAGCTGAGAACTGGTGAGAGAGTCACGTCATGAGCGGAGTATAAAGCAAAAATTTCTTCTTTTTTGCCTTGTGCAATTCGATACATTCTATTGACAGTCTGATTCAAGAGGGGATGAGTGGCAAGCTTAGCGTACTTAACATATAACTGCTTTTCATGTCGCTCTTTTTCATCCTCTATCTGGTGAGATTTTATAACCTTAAAGTGCTCAATATCAATGCAACCATTTTTGGTACAAGGGAAACTAACATTGTGGCAAAAATGACAAAGTAATGAGTCAATAGGGTTAGAAGCTCTCAACTGCCTGGTGGGTACACCAACTACCTTTGCCATACTAATGTAAGTCTTCTCCAGGTTGATGTTCTTAACCCGGAAACTATATTGGCGACGCTGCTCCTCTTCGAGAAAGTGATTCCTCATTGGGCAGTCACAGTGGCCAGAACAAAATATGGTACTCCATTGGTGTTTAAAGTTAATCTTGCGCCAGTCAAACTCGGGCAAAAAGCTATAGAGAAGGGCCAGCCCACTTTGCAATGTTCGGCTTTTTCCAGTGGATTCCAAATAGAGTTGCTTTGCAGTCCAATCCTTTGGTAGCAATTTGTGTTTCTTTATGTATATGTCCCTTAGTAGCTGTCCGTTACGTAAATGTTGTACAACACCTAAAACATAAATTATATATTTTAATAATCAGTGAATAAAAAACATGCAGAGATTGTATTTATAGATATCTCTCTATATCGACAGACAGATATACACACATGCCTTTAGTCTGGTCTAAAAGCTACTCGCTCCGGTAAACCTTCTGTAATGCGACAGCTGGGATTGGACTGTCAGCAACACACAGCCACTCTATCCCTAAATGGATCTCGCAGAGGATAGCTGCTTGGGTACACATTAGGAATCCAAGGATGCCTTGCACAGTTGCATATGGAATCCTTAAATTCACTAGTCTCTACTGCTATGGGGGGGAGGGGGAATGAAATGAAACATTTTATAAATACATTTGCTAGCAATTTTCTATCACAATTTATAGATAAACTTGTAATTATAAAGTACATGATTTCAATGGTGGCGACTGTGAATGATAGATATCACCCCTGTGGCACAGTTACTATAACCTACAGCATCCAAACAACATTGGGGATCCTTTTTAAGAGAGTAGGGAAGTGGGATCCATGGTCTGAAATCCACTAGCCATGGGGCTTTCTTTCTTTTTCTTAATATATAATATATATACATACTAGATATGTATACACACTATATACACACACATGGATATCATATACTGGTAATTATTATTTATATCCCATGGGATACTGTATTCAAATTTTGTTTAAGATCATTTGTCCTGCAATTGCTCCTTGATTTCTAGACAATTAGATTTTTTTTGTTTCATTCTTTAAAAGTACACTCAAAGCACCATAACCACTACAGCCTGCTCTCCACCTCCTCTATTAGTGCCATAGAGACTGAGCACTTGGGCAATGAAGGGTTTAGTTATTGGCTGAGAGTAATCAGGAGAGCTAATGGAAATTACTGCTTAATAGGACCCTCCAGTTCTCAATTGATAATAGTGGAGGAGAAGAAAGGAATCCAGCAGAACCCAGGTAACAAGTAAAACCATTTCAAAATAATGGGGGAAGGGGGGTGCTGGGCACTCCTGGCTCCATAATCAATGCATAGAGCTGTAGTGCTTATGGTTCTCGGAGTGCTCCTTTAATTTTGTTCCCTCCTGTCCCTCAGGAATTGCTAGATATATATACAAATTTGATAAAGGTGCTTAGAATACAGAGAATCTATTGCTATTGATAACGCTACAACACTCTAGTGGGAATCCCTCTTATCCACCAAAAACATGCATATAAAAAAGTGGAAAAGAGCCCAAAAAGCTTTTAACCTCAAGAGTGGAGCTTAAAAATGGTGGATATGTAGCCAACTACCCTAATTGGGGGTATATCAAAGTGTTTCAAACTTGAATGATATTCTGATCCAATGGATATCAAGGCATATATAAAAGAAAAGAATGGGGGGAAGCACATAGCATAATTCTATGGTAGAGAATTGCATTCCATACTAGTTGAAGTGACAAAGAAAAAGCAATTTACAGCTCCCCAGCTGTTGCAGATCAAAATCAAACAAAAATATCAATAACCTATTTTATTAGTAAAAAACAAAAAAAACATAGAATATATCATGTAACAGAATTGGTACTGTCTTCCCATAATACATGGCTCACCCGGTATATATTTTCACATATAAAACAAGAATGAAAACACTACACACACGCATTACTAATTGATGGTGCACCATACAAAAACACAGAAAAAGTCCACTAACGCAAAACAAACAGTTTCAAATCTTTCAAAGCTGCTTGAAAACACATCTCTCAATGCTGCAAAAGTTAGAGATTTGTAGAATTACCATTTTCAAACTAATTTTCTATCTGATTAATATGGCAGGAAACAGCATGTGGACTAACTTAATTGTGTCCAAGTGGCGATAATCCTCCTGTTACGAATAATATAAAATCCTTAAAGACTTGTTTGAGAGGGAACTCCAAGGAGTAAATATATATTTAGAAGAATATGATCAGTTTTCCTTTCTAATCTGAGTGGTGGGTTTGAAGAGCCATATCTATATTCAGATCCACTTCAATTTCTGCATACTCTCAATCCCAGATTGAAACTGCAATATGCTCATTTTAATTTAGAACAGATATAAACCTAGCTACTTGACATATGTCCTGATCGAGTTAAGAATAACCTAAATCGAATCCTAACAGCCTAATAAAATATTCTGTTTTCACACAGTTTTAAGTCCCTACCTATTGAGCTATTAATAGAGCGAACATGTGGCTCTAAAGTCTACTAATGCATATTAGCACTACACTATTTCATTTTAAAGGGGCCCTGTCATGTCCCAAACAACTTATGCTTATTAGATTGAACATAAGATAATATCAATACATCGTACTAGCAGTTTTGCTAGCAAATGTATAGAGTAGAAGGAAAATGTTGATCGGAAAGTATCACATAATGCCTATGGCATAATAAACTTTAACACCTTCCTTCACCTTTAACATTCTAGCGAGTGCGTCCGTTTTTCACTTGTCTATTTCACTTGCATAGATAGCACCCAAGCAATTTCAATACACCAGAACAAGGATAAGAGTGGGAGGGTGAAATACGATGGGGAGCAGGAAAATGGAATTAGGCGGGCATGGAATGAGTGGCATTGTAGAGTTAGATGAAAAAGTGGGATGAACATCGAAAAAGAAGCAAAAAATTAATAGGAGGAGAGATGTGAGGGGTGAACAAGTTATGTCTTATGAGTGCTGTGTATGTGCATATAACAAAGCACATAAACCCCCAAAAGACACTGCAGTAAAACACACCGCTCATTGCTGTGGAGCTCTGTGACACACGCATGAACAATGCACATGACTGTGTGTTAGTATTGCTGTGGAGCTCTGTAATACACAACATACAATGCATGGGTATCACAGTTTCTCTATCCAATGCACTGTCACAATATCTGGCAGTGCTCCTGTTAAGATTATGTTCTGGATCCACCCCTGGGTTCAATAACCATTAGAAGTCTACATTTGACCACCACTGGTTTAAGGGGACGTTAGCCCACATACCTGTTTGAGTAAGTTCTCCCATTTCACAAAATGAATGGCTCGGAAAACGAGGAAGGCCGTTCAGAATACCGTCCATCTGTCCTTCTGCTCCTCTTGACATATGGCTAATAAAATCTGTTAAACGTGGATGGGATGGTTTCCTGATGTAAAGATGCATACATTAGTATTAAATTTTGAATGGCCACTTTGACACAGCACATTGTGGAATGAAGAAAAGCAATCTATAATTATTTTAAGTTAAAAGTCTGACAATTATTACATTCAGTTAGTTGGTTTTGTGTGATGTATACAGTACATTTCCAAATAAAATAAACTTACAGTTGGCTGGTTATGATGCGAGTAGTACCCTGTTCCAGCTATTCAGTATTGGAGCAAACATTTTTGCAATGATTTGCCCTCTTATCTGGGTCCTAACCAGGCACAGTGGGTCCTTTCTCCTCTGATGAGTCACATTTGGCTTCTGCAGAGCTGCAGAAGCTACATGCCGAGGACATCTCCATTTATTGGCAGAGAGCAATCAGCTGACCACTCTAAGCCAATGAATGCAATTCTGAGCATATAAAAATGTATAGCATTGATATAGCCAGTCGCAAACAGTTGCTCCAAGTTGGCTGATGACACCTCAGTGACTCTGCTGGAGATAAATCTCCATATATGCACTGTTTAAAAGAGAAATGCTGCTCATACAGAAACCACTTCAAAGAGAATGAGAATTTTGATTTTTAGAAAGTGAGCTATAAGAGTTGGGACACGTAGGAGACTTTGATTCTGTTGTTCCATTTTTAGCTTTCTTGCTGGAATACTGAAAGATGGTATCAATGCAAAAAAAAAAAAAACACACAGTAATTCTTGCATTAATACAGTTAATCCAGCGTGAATTACATTGTGTAATTTATATTTGCTGCTTCAAAACATCATTCAAGAAAAATGACTCACATTTCTCAGCATGTGTAATAATTAATAAATTTTTGCATTAAAGCCTTGTATTTTGTCAAACTGTCTTAGAGGCTAAAATAAAAATTACGTTTCACTTTCAATATATCTGTCCAAATCTGCCCAGCCTTGGACGCATTAACAGCTGCGCCGCATATGCCTTCAGCTTTCTTTGAACTTTGTTCACAGTTTTGTGAAATGAATTATAGATGGAACAGTGGCTCCAGCTATTTCACATATAGCTGTAACGTTGCCAAATCTGCCAATTGTCCTAGATCCAATACTGATAAAAACCTTGTACTAGGTTAAAACCTTAACTGTTCGTAGTGGGTATAAAATAAAGGAACACCTTTGATCTGATGTTAAACTGGACCATCTATTATTGATTTACTATTTTCAGCAGAACCGAGTGCTGAGTGAATGTTCTTCTCTATTTATTTGTCTCTAGATCTGGTGGGATAGTATCAATTTTGGGTCAATATGCAATCTAATTGGGTTTGTTTCTTTCTCCACTTCAGTTTACCTGAAGAACCTGTTTTGAATAGCCTATTGCGGCCACAGGTATGTTAGAGTATTTCTGTACAGAGTCAGACAGTATTATTCCGCAGATGTGCAGATCTGGTTTGTTGCCTGTCATGCATGAATGTGTGCACTCGGATTATAGGCCTCTTTCACAGCTGCAAGTTATACAAATGTAGTGAATTGCATCTATAGCAGGTTTCCATTTCAGTCTTACCCTCACCGAACACAGTCTTACACTTCCCAGTCTTAGGAGATATGGAGGAAGCATGTGATCAAACGTTGTGCACATACTTCAGTTGACAGGGGAAACAAACTTTCTTCTGTGATGTGAAAGGATGGACTTACAGCTGCAACAGTCAGAAACGGGTGTGTAGATACACAATGACGGGAGATCTACTTTCACTATAACCTCCTTCAGCAGCACAGATTGTTATGGTGCTTGAAGTGTTACTTTGAGAAAGAAATCAATTTTCTCCTAGTTTGAGGTCACTCTAGCTTAAGAAGACAGATGGCAGAACTAACCTGGGCTTTATTTAACCTGAAAAAAAGGCAGACACAGCTGGGTAAATATGCTTTAGGCTGCTCGAAATAAAACCGCCAAAAAATGTGCATCGAAAGCACATTACAGCCAGTGGCTGTGTCATTACAAAATAATAAACTATGGGGGCAATCTTAAATAAATAAAATGAGGAGGCAGGGCATCATAGTGTCTAGTCCAGTTCCCACCCAAGGGTGGCGAGTGGGGGCTTTTAATATAATAAACAGGGTGGGGATCTAGTATTCTCCCCAGACCCATCAAATGGGCGGTGGCTACTAACATATAAACAGGGAGGGACCAAGTGTTCCCACAGGCCCCTACCCATGTGTGGTGCTGATGGGGTCTATTAACATCATAAATGGGGTACCTGGTGCCCACCTAAGCCCCACACATAGGCATAATAAATGGAGAAGGGGGGAACCTAGTGTCCCCAACCCCTACCAGAGGTAAAATAAAAAATAGAAGGAGGTTGATATGACTTGACTTTATGTGTGTGGGATTATTAAAGACAATAGGTGGGCATACCATTGTTACTTCTCTTGAAAGCCAACCATTCCGAGCAATCTAACAAGCTTGTCTCATTTTCCTCGAGTTGCCGGGATGGGAGCAAATAATTAAACAAACTAAAAGTCTTTACCAGCATAATTTGGTTGTTGAATCCAATGAGGCCATTTATTCAGCAATATGTATGATAAATTAATTTAAATCACATGACAATATTTTCAATGTAAAGTATAGGCATCAGTTTCAATATTTCAACTAAAATAAAATAAACAACAATGAAAGAGTGTACCTGCTTGGCTCCAGGACACAATCAATGTCAGGTCTTTTAGTTTTAGGAATGGCATATAAAGGGTAGCGGTCTCCATGTCGGATTAACACCTGGACGGACAGTAATTTCATGTTGTGAGGTGCATGACCTAAATGTGGGAGAAGATAGATCTGATTAAGAGAACAAAAAAAATGACCTATCTAGGTAAAAACGATACAGTCGGCCATCAAACCTGTTTTCTACAAACCAAAGCCTTCATTAGTGACGGCTGAGGGAAATGACAAAACGTGATGGTTGTAGCTCTGCCTTTTGTCAAGCATAGGGAATATACTAAGACAAGGTAGTCCCTACTTTATCTCAGTATATGTTTGACCTCGCTGGAATTTCAGGGAAATTCTAACACAGTCAATATGAGTATTTCATAAAGATAAACACATTTAAATTCTTGTCATATGCGAGGAAATGAAAATTATGGGAGTGACAGACAAATAGGTGAAAGAGATCAGTTGCACCACTTGGGGTCAAAAGGGATTCCCTTGTACACGACTATATAGATAATAAAAGAAAAGTTTAAAAAAGTAAATAAAACTGAAACAAAACACAGAACATTAACAAAACATGCTTTTTATTACATTGTAAAAAGATATTTGGGGTTGCAATGTTTTATCTTTATAAAATACAATTTTAGACAAAGTAACAGAGCTGCTTTAGCAACTAAGTAAAGTTCCTCACATAACATCTTGGTGGTTGCAGTGGATTCATGGTAACCTATGGCAGTGAAATCCATTCATTTATGCGTTCTAAAATAAAGTCTGTTAATATAAAATAATCAGCACCAGTTATACGTACTTTTTTAAGAGCTATATGATCTTCCATTGACTATTACCTATGACAGTGCCACTTGGCAAGACTTTATTGAGTTGAGCTCCTGAGTTTAAGTTTGGGGAATCTGAATAGCAAATATGCAAGACATCCGTTATACTTAACTATTTAGGTTTTACCGAGTAGCAAGCATCTATCATTCCAACTACTAGCATAGCTACATGAATAGACAACATACTCCAATCCTGGATGGCAGACTTTCCTTTGTGAAGACTATACATGGATTCTTTTGAACTGAAAATAGCCATTCTAGTTTAGAATCCTGCTCATCCTTTACACAAAGCTGATCTCTTGAGAAACGAAGGGCTCTGTACAATTAATCATATCTAAGAGAGATGGCTGATTATCCCTAGTTGGTTTATTAAAACCGACTTTACAGAGCATCTATTGTATGGTGTTCTATTTATTTTAGACTATTACCTTGATAATTGTGGAATCTGAAAAAGACTGAAAGGATGGCAAAATAAAAGAGATATGTATAGATTTTCAGATCTCTGAAAAGTAGCAATGTCCCATTTTAAAAGCTATTGTTCAATGTTCTATGTATCGTGCTTGCAAGACAAGTAGACAGTAGATCATAAATTCAGTATGTACAGTTAGAGTACAGTCTAGGTTTTTGTGTTTTATTTCCTATATTAAAAGCAAGAAGTTCTATGAAGACAAAAATATGTTGGCTGAGTCAGTACTCCACACAATGCAACATACAAGGTAAAGGCAAAGATTTCAGATGAAGAAAAGGAGGGGGATCATGAGAAATCAAATAAGTAAGGTTACACTATTATTAAACAGAAATCACTTCTGGGGCAGGGAAGTCAAGTTTAGGGAATAGAAGGGGATGCATAATCTAGAGAAAATGGTTATTACTCTGGTTATTGTAAACATTAGTTCAGGAAAGTTGTTAATATACTTTATACTATAACATCCTGCAACGAAATTGCAATTGATACAGGTAACTTGTGATGATATTAGTAGAGTGTAGGCATAAGGTTATTTACAAGCAACATACAGAGGCACAGGAACGTCATCTAGATAGCTGTGGATGGCAAAGCCCAATGTGCTATTGCAACATGAAAAATAAAAATATGGTAGTCTAATAAAATGCAAGTTAAAAAAAGCATGATATAGCAGCCATGTTTAAAAAAAGGTGAAAAAAACAACAACATATTTACAAAAAATATATTACAGAAATACATATTTGCAGAAAAACAAACAATGTTTAGATTGATTAAAGATATTCTTCTGTACAAACAAACTAGTTGAGTTAGCCCACTTGAGATCACACCACGTTATCAGTCTCTTTGAGAAAGCCTGTGATTAAGCACTGTGTAGTGTGAAATACATTAGCAAGCTCTTGGTGACTTTTTTTACAGTGTAAGTAAGTGATTAACACAATAGTTTAAAAAATTTGTGTACTTGTTGTGAGGACAGGAAAGGTGTAGTTCAATAGAAGTCCCAATGCTGTGGATAATCCAGGAGGTAGACACATGTATCAAGGGACGCATACAATAAACCTTTCAAGTTAGATTAAGAATCCAATCTGATGAGTAAACCCAGAAGTGGAGTCACTACAGTACGTTGAACAAAGTGAGGTATCTCCATAGATCAGAGAAGGATTACTAAGGGTCCTAGGCAGGTTACCAGTTTGTGCCCTTAATTCTTCATATAGGGATGGATAATGCAGCCGCATAGGATCGCCTTCTGGTTAATCCTGCTCTGCCTTAAGTAGGACAGTCAAGAAAGCAAGCAAAAACAACCAAGTGTAAACCTCACTTGATCATGATCAAAGTGTACCTGTACATTTGGTGCTGCTATTTCTACAACTGGCCAGTGCTGTATAGATAGGTTTAAGAACTCCATGCACATAATACAAATTACTTAAGTATAAAACTTATATGGTAGGAGAGGCAGGATACATTTTTGACTGTCAGGTATGAGCCTGTGGGCACAGAATCATGTTACATAGAAATTAAGGTTTTTACTAAAAAGTTCTCTTTCTTCTTATGTTTAATTACTACAGCTTAAAGCGGCACTGTCATGGCCGAATCCTGTTTTTTTTTTTAACCCCCCCTCCCGACTCCACTACATCTAACTGACCCTCTAGTCACCCCCAAATGCCCCTAAGCCCCCCATATTACCTATTTTTTATTCTTTATTTTCTGCCCCGATCTATAATCGGGGCACCGCCATCTTTGTGTGGGTAGAGGAAGTCTCTGTGGGACACGTCATCTGCCCACACTAGATAGCACTGAGATTCCCGCACATGCCCAGTGAAACACTTGGACATGCGAACAGGAATTTCATCTATTCATTCATTCATCAGAAAGACGAATGAATGAATAGAAATGTCAGACGAAACAAACACTGAATATCAGTGTTCGTTTGTTCGTGCAGTTTATTACAAGGAGGGAGCTACCGGCGCGCAGCTCCCTCCTTGTAATATGTAACTATAGAAGCAGCAGGGAGCAGTGCTCCCCGCCACTTCCTAAGCCACCCATGTCCTCCCTCACTCTATGGGGGGTCAATATGACCCCCATAATAGCATAAGGGAGATTAAAATCTCCCTAATGCCCCTACTCGCTATACCGCAAGTAGGGGCATGTTTACTAAACAGTGAGCAGCATGTGGCTGCTCACTGTAAAAAAACAAAAACTACTATCCGGCCCCCACCCCTGCGCGGTGGGTGGGGCCCCTAAATGACAACTGTCGTCCCCTGCGCGGTGGGTTGGGCCCATAAGACAAATCCCCCCGCCCCCATCAAAGGTGACTAGGGGCCCCCAAACCCCTAGTCACCCACCTTCCCACCCCAAAAAAAAAATTACCCCATACCTACCCCCCTCACCCTAAAAAATAGTGAGGGGGGAATAAAATAACTAACCTGTAAAGAAAAATTAAACTTACCATTTGACGTCTTCTTTTTTCTAAAATCTTCATTTTTTCAGCCCCCAAAAAAGCCAAATAAGAAACCATCATACCTGTCGAACTTTAAATAAAATAAAAAACCCGGCGAAAAAAAAAACAGGCGAAAAGAAAAACCAGGCGCAAAAAAAATCCATCTTCACCCATGGAGGGCTCCGCGCAGACACAAAGCACTCTGGCTTAAACCAACCAGAGTGTTCTTAGCCTAATTGCAGGGCATGCAAGGCTTTATAAGACTTCCCCGCCCTGCAGAGCTCAATCTGCACAGAGCCCTCCATGGGTGAAGATGGATTATTTTTTTTGCGCTCAAGGCTCGGGTTTTTTTTTTATTTAAAGTTCGACAGGTGATGGCTTATTTGGCTTTTTTGGGAGACAAGAAAAAGTCATAATTTTTCTTTACAGGTTTATTTTTTCCCCCCTCACTATTTTTAGGGGGTAACTTTTTTTTTTGGGTGGGGGGGTGGGTGACTAGGGGCTTGGGGACCTAATCACCTTTGATGGGGGGGGGGGATTTGTCTTAGGGCCCCCACCCGCCGCCCAGGGGTGGAGGAGAACAGTAAGTGATCCCCCCTCATTATCTTTATGGTCCCCACCCACCACTCAAGGGTGGGGGCCTGGGGGGAGGACAGTAGGTCCCCCCATTGTAATTTATGGCCCCCACCCACCGCGCAGGGGTGGGGAGGACAGTAGGTCCCCCCATTGTAATTTATGGCCCCCATCCACCGCGCAGGGGTGGGGAGGACAGTAGGTCCCCCCATTGTAATTTATGGCCCCCACCCACCGCGCAGGGGTGGGGGCCGGTGGGGGGAGGACAGTAGGTCCCCTCCTCATTATCTTTATGGCCCCCACCCACTGCTCAAGGGTGGGGGCCGGGGGGGGTGAAGTATCGTAGGTTCCCACCCCCCATTGTAATTTATGGCCCCCACCCACCGCGCAGGGGTGGGGCCAATATTTTTTTTTTAGTTTTTGGTTTTTTTACAGTGAGCAGCCACTGGCTGCTCACTGTTTACTAGACATGCCCCTACTCACGGTATAGCGAGTAGGGGCAGATCATTTACTAATACTAAGTAATCTTTACTTAGTATTAGTAAATGTTTAATTCATTCAAATGAAATTCCGATACGAAAGTGCCGAATTGAGTTCTAAAACAAACGAACATACTGTTCTCATTCAGTTAGAACACAATTCGGCAGTTTCGTCTAAAATGACAGGAAGCATCGCGAGATCACAGAGGAAAGGTAAGAATTATGGGAAAATTTATCTGACCAGCGGAAATGAAGCACACTTTGCTCCTCCACTGGTCAAAGCTGGTCAAGCGGAGGAAACCTCCATAAGGCAAAGAGTCCCTACTTTGTCTTATGATTTTAAAGAAAACTAAAGAAGACAGGAAGAAAAGAAAAACAGATCCTGAGAGAGGAGGAGAAGAGGAAGAGATTGAGGAAAGGTAAGTTCGGCATGACAGTACCGCTTTAAATACAGAATAGGCTCCATGAGAGAGTAAAATACTGATAGAAAGACCAATTTTTCAAAGATACATTCATGCAACTTATATATTATCGGTACAGCTTTATCTGGAACTGCAGTGTCGTCGTTTTAAATACATTTTTTTCCCTCTTCATTTTATCTTTTTGAATTTATCATCAATCTAGTTTATGTATACATGTTTGGGAATATAATACCTTCCATGCTTCTCACTGTTATTCCTAGGGTATTACAGTACAGGCTTGCTTCGTAGAGAGGATCTATTGCAGGAGGTTCCGTCAAGGGATTAGGCATGATCCTTTTACGATTTTTAGCATTTAAATCATCTTCTCTGCCTTGGGCACCTGCAATTAGGTGCACTGCAAACTCTTAAAATAAAAATAAATATCACGCGATTAAAAATTCAGAACATGCAGGAAACGGATTTTATTTTTGGTAAACATTGACCACATTACACTCGTATAAGCTCTAGGTATGCATTTGTCAACAATCAATCATAATATACTTTTGATTTAGAATTTATAATCAAAAATGGTAACAGTGGAATGTATAATTTTCTACAGAAAAGGGGAGGCTAAGAGACACACATGGGGCTATTAGGTGACACATGGGGATATTAACTGACAAAAAAGACAAAGGGGGATAAGACACACAAAACAAGGGGTAGAAATGCATAAAAGAGTGTAAGTGATACAAAAGGTAGGATAAGACACCAAAGGGGTAAAGAGGGTTTAAGATATGCACAAGAGGGTAGATGAAAAAGAGAGAGAGAAACAGGGAAAGTCATGAGATATATACAAGGGGGTGAGAGGGTAAGTGGTGACAAAAATGTACAGGTCAGGGCAGCGCAGGGGGATTTGGGTGTGCCAACATACAATTCCATCCTGGGTGCCATGCATTCTACAGGGCTCCCAACTGTCCCACTTTTGGCAGGACAGACCAGATTTCAGGATCCTGTCCTATTGTCCAGATTTAGTTCCCTGGTGTCCCACATCTGGGGACACCACCAAACTATCTGCTTTAGCTGTGCACTAGGACCATGCTGAGAGTGCTTCAGCAGCACTCTTTGCATTGCACTGCATAGGGGGCCAGTTGAGAGGCTGTCAGTCAGCCTGGCAAGCTTGAATGCCTTCCCATTCATCCCAATTACAAATCTACCAATGGTTGAATCTAGGTAAGCCTCTGGGCCCACACACAGCCACAAACTAAAAAAAGTACAACACAGAAGACCATTTATAGTGAAACATCAAGATGTACAGACCAACAGTGTAAAAATAAATAGCGTGTACAGGAAAGTATTATTAAATATTACACAAAAACAGTGTTGTTTCATTATCCGTGTGTATTTCTTGGTGTACTGTTTGAACTTTACCTATAATTTGTAATGTCCCTTTGAAGATTAATGTAAAACCAATTTGTGTGTACACTTTAAAAACAAACATATTATTAACATTTAATGGGTACACGGTTGGTCTGTATGTAAAATATTTAAATGAAATACAGTTTCTTAAAATAAACCAGTCCCATCTGTTCCATATGTCTTTCTTTTTAGATCTCCAAGGTTCAATTAAGTTGCTTTTTGCAGCATACACTGCAATTTCTCTATCCTCAAAGAGCCTGCCCTAGACCATCATATGATGTACAAGGGAGTGTCTTGTGGTATAAAAGCGCTTGGGAACTGGATAAGTAAAGGCAGATACATACTTTAATAACTATAATTAAAGTACACATATTTTCGTTTCTAAAAATGCCAAGGAATCTATGTAGTGTTTCTGATATGGGTAATACCACAAAATTACTAGTTGTTCCTATATATAAAAAAATTATTTCATAACCCATTTCAATGGATTATTCAACCTCTGGGCACTCAGATATTTAAGAAAAGATATAATAATAATAATGATGAGTTATTTTACCTGGATGTATATGTGTTCCTGTCTTAAGCTGCATGCTAACAGGCAACCATCTGGAGACTGTAGAAATAAAAAGATAAAATAATATATGAAAAGAAAAGAAAAGAAAATAGGTGCACAGAAAAAACAGCTGAGAACGTTACAAATTTAAAAATATACGTTTAAAGAAATATGCAGGATTGTCACTTTTAAAAAGATACTGAAATGATCATCATCATCTGGATATTCCATAAACTGTGCTAAAGTTAACCTTCTAAAAGTATATATATATATAATCACCAATCAATAACCAATATACAGTTAGGTCTGGAAATATTTGGACACTGACACAATTTTCATAATTTTGGCTCTGCACACCACAACAATGGGTTTGAAATGAACCAACTGAGATGAATTGAAGTGCAGACTTTAAGCTTTAATTCAAGAGATTGAACAAAAATAGAATATGAAATGTTTAGGATTTGTAACTATTTTCATACACAGTCTTGTCATTTCAGAGGCTCAAATGCAATTGGACAAATTAACCAACTCATAAGTAAAATGTAAATATTTAATACTTTGTCGAGAATCATTTGCAGACAATGACTGCTTGAAGTCTGGAATACATGGAAATCACCAAACGCTGGGATTCTTACTTTGTGATGCTTTTCCAGGCCTTTACTGCAGCTGTCTTCAGTTTTTGTTTGTTTGTGGGTCTTTTTGCCTTAAAGGGACACTATAGTCGCCAGAATAACTACAACTTATTGTATTTATTCTGGTGAGTATAACCATTCTCATGCAGTAAGCACTGTTTTGTTAGAGAAAATGCAGTGTTTACATTACAGCCTAGGGATACCTTCACTGGCTAATCCTCAGATGGCTACTAGAGGTGCTTCCTGGAGCAGTGCTGCACACTGTGAAGCACTTACATTCAGTGGCTCCACCCTCTGCTTGGAAACACTAAACTTTCCTCATAGAGATGCATTGATTCAATGCATTTCTATGAGGAGATGCTGATTGGCCAGGGCTGTGTTTGGCTTGTGCTGGCTCTGCCCCTGATCTACCTTCCTGACAAACTCAGCCAATCCAATGCATTGTGATTGGCTAAGAGAATCACTTCTGATGATGTCAACCAAGCCGGCAGGTCAGGAGCAGCGCCAGCAGCAGCAGACTGGATTAAATTTAAGATTTTGCTATATTTATGGGGGCAGGGGGGCTAGATAGTGGTTTCAATACTATAGGGTAATTAATGCATTTTTGTTTTCCTGACCCTACAGTGTTGCTTTAAGTTTTGTCTTCAGCAAGTGAAATGCTTGCTCGAGATCAGGTGATTGACACCTCTTTGCTTTAAGAAAAACTCCTGTGTCGCTTTCACAGCATGTTTTGGGTCATTGTCCATTTGTAAAGTGAAGCGTCATCCAATAAAATTCGCTGAATTTGGCTGAATATGAATTCTAAACTTCAAAATTTATCCAGCTGTATCTGTCTTTAGTCACATCATCAATAAACACTAGTGACCAAGAGCCATTGGAAGCCATGCATGCTCATGCCATCACACTGCCTCCACCGTGTTTTACAGATGATTTGGGTATGCTTTGAATCATCATGAGCAATTCCAAGCCTTCTCTATACTTTTTTTCTTCCCATCATTCTGGTACAGGTTGATCTTCGCTTCATCTGTCCAAAGAGTCCTGTTCCAGAACTTTGCTGGCTTTTTTAGAAGTTTTTTGGCAAAGTCTAATCTAGCCTTTCTATTCTTGAGGCGCAAGAATGGTTTTCACCTTGTGATGAACCTTCTGTATTTGCTGTTGTGAAATCTTCTCTTTATGGTAAACTTAATGATATGCCTACTTCCTGGATAAATGTTCTTCACTTGGCTAGATATTGTGAAGGAGTTTTCTTCACCATGGAAACGATTCTACGATCATCTACCACTGTTGTTTTCCATGTTGTTTTCCATGGACGTCCAGGCGTTTTTGTTTTGCAGAGATCACCAGTGCGTTCTTTTTCTCAGAATGTACCAAACTGTTGATTTGACCAATCCTAATGTTCCTGCTATTTATCTGGATGATTTTTTTTTGGCAACCTAAGGATGGTGGTCGTTTAACAGACATAGACAGTGTCTGCACACCATAGCCATGGTATTGAACTTCTGCTGAATAAAATTTAAGGTGTACACTGCAGGCAACTGAAGGGCAACAATTTGTCATATAGAACAACATTTCTTTTACAAAATATGGGGTGTGGACACATTTGCACCTTAGTTTCAACCCTTTGTCTCCCTCTTCCAACAAGTAGACAGAAAAAACTTGCTTCATACAGATTTATGAAAAACCACATCATTCCCATTTATTTCAGAATGGACAGTGAAAACACTCTAAAGTATTTTATTTACTTGTCATAATTTATATTTTAAAATAAAAAGTTAAATCATTTCTTAAACAGTTTAAAACAGAAAGACTTTTTTTTATATATGTGGAAAAAGCTATGCAAACATGTAGTTTTATAAGAAATTTCTTGCAGGCAAAAAAATTAGCAACTCACAAGCACAAACCCCTTGGGCATTCCTCTGGCTCCCTACATGCATATGACTATATTGAGACATTTCCAAATCAGCTACTCTGACCTAAAGATTGCATTGGTTTTCATTTTACCAATCTATACGATTTAGTTAATAAATCATTATATAAAACCTCAGAAAAAATGGAAAATTCAAATTGATGATTAAATTGTAATGTATATATTTTTGGGGGGATGGTGGGGTAGCTACTGCACTAAGAAAAATGTTAATTCTGAAAACAATCTTTAATTCCTAACCCTGAATTCTTTCCAGCTGGAGCAAACCACAGCATACATTCTGAATAATAGTAATTTATGCAATTGGGATTACATAGATGCTGGTGCTTTGCTTTTTTTTATTTTATTAAAAAGACGTTATTTATTTGAAAAATACTATATTGCCATTTTTAAATAACATTGTGGTTAATGATAAAAATTACAGCAGAAATTAGGAGTTTTAAATGTTTGGACACAACAGTAGAATTTGCCATCACAGGAGTTAAATATTAATGAACGGTAGTCTAAAGGTGCAACATATTCAATTGATTAGCAAATACCTATATCTATACATCTAAAACTTCATAGAAAGAGTCAGGTTAATATGAGAATATAAAATAATAAGCATCTACATTTATCTTGATTAGAACTTCCCTTCCACAATAAACTTATACACAAAGCAAGTCTTTGAAATCTGATTATTCTTAAAATACTACCTGGCAAATTAACGCAAATAGAGAAAAAAAAATAAGAAAGTACCTATAATAAAAAGGACGAGGAGCATGATCTCGATAAGGAGCTAAAATCTTCCAGCTGCTGTTCACTATGTAAATGGAAATGGCTAGTTCAAGCATTCTGAACACATATATTCGTTGGCACAGTGCCGCTTTAAGACGTGGTACCCTTCTAAGACAAACCCTCTTTTCAGAGTACCACATACCTAACCGTTTATTCAGTTCCTTGTTTAAAGAAAGCAGACAGGCACTGACCATACAGAGAACAAGGGAGTCTTTTCCACTAAGGAATCAAAATTAGCTTTCTATATGTTTTTCTATATTTGCTAGTCTTACCTGTAATCACACAGCTACTCTCAGGGGTCGTGTTAGAAATGTATTATTGCAGAAGAATCTGTTTAGTTTTTGTTTAACAATCTTTTTGCCATTACCAATGTTTTTTCGTAGCATAATAATATAAATATATATATATATATATATATATATATATATATATATACACACACAGGGCCGCCATCAGGGGCCCTATATCTTCAGCGGCCCGGTCAGCGATGTGGCAGCGACCGGGCCCCTTTAAAAATTTTTTAAAAAAGCAGCCGCAAGTGCTGCTGGGAGGAAGTGGTCACTTCCTTCCAGCCCACTCCGCGCGGGAGGAGCGCGTGCGCCGGTGAAGAGGGAGAGCCAGGCAGTGAAGAGGGAGCCGACCAACTCCCATCATCCCCAGCCACCCTCCTGCAAAGAAAAGGTAAGAGACAGGAGGGTGGCTGGAAAATGAGCTGTGTGTGTGTGTGTGTGTCTGTATGCATGTCTGTCTGTATGTGTATGTATGTCTGTCTGTGTATGTATGTATGTCTATCTGTATGTATGTATGCATGCATGTATGTCTATGTATGTTTGTCTGTCTGTCTGTCTGTATGCATGTCTATATGTCTATGTTTGTCTGTCTGACTGTATGCATGCATGTATGTCTATGTATGTATGTATGTGTATGTCTGTATGTGTGTATGCATGTCTATGTATGTATATATGTATGTCTGTATGTCAGTATGAATGTATGCCTGCATATCATTATGAACGTATGTCTGTGTGTATGTCTGTCTGTCAGTTTGTCTGTATATATGCATGTATGTCAGTCTGAATATATGTATGTCTGTATTCCATTATGAATGTATGTCTGTTTATGTCTGTATGCCATTATGAATGTATGTCTGTCAGTGTCTGTATGTCTGTCAGTATGTATGTCTGTGTCTGTATGTATGTATGTGTCTTTATGTCCTCATGCATGTGTGTTTGTATGTATGTTAGTATGTGTCTGTCTGTCACTATGTATGCCTGTGTGTATGTCTCAGTATGTGTGTGTCAGTATGTATGTGTGTATGTCTGTTTCAGTATGTGTGTCTGTTAGTATGTATCTGTGTCCTTTTGTATCAGTGTGTGTGTGTATTCCTGTGGGCGGTATTTGGAGGCGGACCCAGGGGGCCCATACCCTGAGCTGAGTTAGGGGCCCCAAAAATTCTGGTGGCGGCCCTGTGTGTGTGTATATATATATATATATATATATATATAAAGGCCATTTAGCCTGAATTTGTGGGAGGAGTTATGATCCTATATAAACCCTACCCCCCCCCGCCCCACTTACCTTTGTCGTGCAAGCTGTTTGTCTCCATAGTTACCTGCACTTCTGGTTCGTTGTTCCCGCCAAGTCCTGTCTCAAGCAGTCTCCAGCAAGCAGTCTGCCGCCAGCAGCTCCTGACTCCGTCATCCGTGCCCGTCCACTGGCTTCTACCCGACCTCGTCGCTCGCTACCCGGCTTCCGGTCACGAGACCGGCACATCCACGTAAGCATATACGTGGGAAATGGCGTTCGGCTATTTCCCACGTTCGGGCCTAAAAACGTGGGGATAGGCTCCCTTCATTACTAACCCATTTGTGCTCTTACTCCGTTCGTGTACTTCTGCGTTCATGCGGCTAACAGCCGACCGCAGAGTACACACTCCTGTCGCTTACATTTTCGTATAAACTAACTACCGACCGCACTAAAACTTACGTTCGACTATTTTTATCCGTTCAGTAGTTCAGCCGAACACATATACATTGGCTTTCGTTTAAAATTTGTTTGTATGCTCCATTTAACCGAACACAGGAGTTCTTTCTCATTACAGTTCTCCTGTTCATTCGTTTACCGAAAGCAAGAGGCTACAATGTTTAAATTCTCAAATCTTCTGTAATTGTACATAGTTTGCTTTCATGTAAATAAGCACTCGCATTATTCATCCTATTTGGATTTATGTGTATTTATTACATGGCTCTTAAAGTCACCACTGGTTAAATAATATGTGTTTCTAATTTTCCTGCCCATGGTCACATAATTATGGGACTCCTATCTTTTACAGGGTAAATCTTCTTAAAGAACAGTTTGACCACTTTTCTCTTATCAGTTACATTCAAAAAAATACACCTCCAGGCATTATCATACCCTGCTGGGACTTAGGCTTTTGTACTTTCTCTTATGTATTAGTCTTCTACACAACTAAAGTCTCTCCGCTCATAGGTTAAGCCTTATGGTCCTTTTTCACCAGGCTCTTTACAGACCATTTAACCCCTCAAGGACCAAACTTCTGGAATAAAAGGGAATCATGACATGTCACATATGTCATGTGTCCTTAAGGGGATAAAACCTAAGTTCCTTACACTTGGACTGCATATGTTTTTTGGGTTTTACTACTTATATTTTTCTTCCAACAAAGCTCCAAGAAGAGGTACCCAGTATCCCACATTTCTGTAACAGGTAAGAAGGTTTACCATTTGACGTTCTCCCTTGAGGCCTCATTCAGCCCCCCACCTCCCAAAGTGGGTTCTAAACTTCAAACGGGCCAGATCTGAAATTCCTCATGGCTAGTAAACATCAATCACACAAACCTACACCACCTTGCTAGTACTTATACTTTTCTTCAAACTAAGCTCCAATAAGAGGTACCCAGTATCCCGCATTTTGGTAAAAAGTAAGAAGGTTTACCATTTTACGTTTTCCCTTGAGGCCTCATTCAGCCTCCACGGCCTCATACAGCCCCCCACCTCTCAGTGGGTTCTAAACTTTGAGACGTACCTGGTCTAAGATTCCTCACAAATGTCAACAACAATCTCAATCATAATCCACTGTATTACTACTATATTTAACGGTACATGTTTTGTCATTCATTTCTACATATCATTACTTAGACCTGTGTCATTACATGTGAAAATCACAGTGAAAAGCCCCGAAGCGCCTCTAGCGGCTGTCAATGAGACAGCCACTAGAGGCTGGATTAACCCATTTGTAAACATAGCAGTTTCTCTGAAACTGCTATATTTACAGCAGGCAGGGTTAATCCTAGATGGATCTGGCACCCAGACCACTTCATTGAGCTGAAGTGGTCTGGGTGCCTATAGTGGTCCTTTAAGAGTTATGCCACAATTATAGGCAACATCCGACTCCAAGTATGAGCTATTTATTCACTTGCCTGTACAATATGTGCAGAAAATGCAAAATATAGCATGCAGAAAAATGTTTGCCCCTATATTTTTAACATAATCTGCAAGAAATTAACTAATAATAATTAGATCACCATGTGCATTCAGCCGTTGACGGAAGAAGAGGCAGGAGAGCTCCCCGCCCAGCGCTGGAGAAAGAGGAAAGTTTAACCCCTTCCTCACCCTAGAGCCAGGAAAATGATGCATGCGACCCTCTCGAGTGGTTAGTTTTGTTCTTATACTATATAAGCATGTTCCATTGCCTCTATACAAAGTTATGTGCCCAGTTCATCCTAACTGACCAATTAGCGTTTCTGACATACACTCACCATGTAATCCCCAGCACCGTCCAATTCGGTAGACACGTGTAGCTAACCTGACATCCTATTGTTCAATAATGTGCAGTTTAGCATGTCGCCCTGGCCACCGAATTAAGCTTGTCTTATCATACTATTTCTCACTAGTTATTAATCACGATGTCTAACATACCTTTCGTATATACCCGCCTAGTTTAAGCTAATGCTTTAGACATATCTACCTAGCTTGACTTTATTAACAAAAATTGTGCTGATATTGAATGCCATGATATTGTTTACTCTGTAATTTTTCCTTCGCTTGTACCTGCTGTTGTGGCAACAGCCTGTTTGTTAAATTGAGCACTGCAAAAAATAAAGATTGACAAAAAAAAAGTTTAAGAAAAAGAAAAAAAAAAAAAGAAAGATAACATGATGAAATGTATCAGAGTTCCTTTTTGTGTGTTCTCCCAGGCATTTAGTTGCATTTGTTTGATTTTCACATTTTAAAGAATTTATTTTTGCCAATTACACTGACCCTGGCTAGATCACTGCGAAGCTTTCTGCACTAATAATTTATAAATGAAAGGTAGGGATTTCAAGTACTATTCAAATCAATATAAAACACAAGTACAGAAATTACTAATTAAATTTTTGTAAGGTTACGAATTTATACCATCATTTTTAGACTGTTTGTGTAATATGTTAAAACTACCTTTAGGTCTGAAGGTATGTTTTATTGTTTTTTTTCTCCATGACTTGCACTGTATTATTGCCATCCAAGATTGGATGGATTTGCATTAATGTAAATTTTACATCGTCAATGGAACTGCAGAGGGGATATGCTAGGAGTGCCCCGAGAGTCCTGTTCTTTTGTCAAACAGGTACAGAAAACCAGGGGATGGCGCCTATTGACTTACAGCACCATAGACAAACTACCTTGAGCTGTAGTGGTTACAGCACTTACAGTTCCCCTTTAAGAATATAATTACAGAAATTAAAGGAGTAGTAGCTGTAAATTGGGCCCAGAGGCATCTACATTTCTAATGAACCAGTAAATGCTCATCAAGGAATATAGAGGTCACAGCAAAATTCTTTCACTTTGTTATAACAGCATTATTCATTGCTTCTTAAAAAAATCAAATATAACAAGTAGTGATAGATTAATAAAAAGGTAGAAAAAAAAGAGAGCAGAAACTGGTACGGGCGATAACTTTAAGTGCACACAGAGCTGTGGCAACGGCGTGGCTATCACCTGGAGGCCCGGAGTTTAGGGGGGTGATTTCTAGGATAAAGGAAAGCAGAATTATGGACGATCTGACTGCTAGACTAAGAGGAACAACCGTGACTTTCCAGAGGGTTTGGGAACCATGGGATAATAGTGTAATGGGCTCCGGTAACGATTGATGGGCTGGATATCTGGTTTAAATCGGGATCCGACACTGCTTGGTCAGTGTCGGAATGGAATTCCTTAGCCTCGTTCGGTAGAAAAAAAAACACTCAGAATTAGCAGCTTGAGCTCTGTAGGACAGAGAATCCAAACCAGTGTGTTTCACTTGAACATAGTTTTTCAAGACTCTGGTGCTCATATAAAGGAGACGTACAGGTATCTGCAAAATCGAATTGCGTCCCCACAAGTAACCTTGTCAGCCCCAACATGAACAGTTAAACTTGTAGATGACTGATCTTGTGGGTCTAAAGTTGCACACAGAGGTGCTACACAATATACACAAATAAATATGCATTATATGTTTACATGATACAGGCATAAAGATATATATTTAGACACAAATATATTGAATGTGTCAGTCTATATTGATCCCAACAGCAGTAACAAATCATACAAAGAGTAAAAAAAGTAATTAAATTTTTTTTAATATATCCAGACGTGTGAAGAAAAAACAAAGTTAAAGGGACATGCATACAGAATTAAAAAAAGGGGTTGATAGTTTAGTAGTCCTATGCATTAGAGACACTATAGTCACTTTAGCTTAAAGGGTTTTTCCAACCACAATGACCACTTCAGTGATTTAAAGTGGCCGTGGTAGAAGGAGTATGTATATGCAGTGTTTCTGCTTTAAAACATTGCACATACCTATATATGTTTAATTGTTAGACATGTGCAATTCGTTTCGGTCCGAATTTAAATTCTGCCAAATTTCGGGCAATTCAGACATTCGGGTACTTCCGAATACCTGAATTGTCGAAGTGCCGAATTGCCAAAGTCCCAAAATTGCAGAATTTCCGAAGTACAGTATTGCCTAAGTACTAATATACTTACCCAGTGGAAGAATGAAAAATGTTACACTATATACAATTTTAAATAAAAAGTATACAAACATAGCCATGATTCAGCTGTAAGCATTTGCAACACTTACAACAATCAAGTAACACACATTCATATACAATGTAAGTTACTTAGCCAGTCAATGTAATGACAGGAATGAATAAGTAGATAACTCCCTAATTCCCACGGTATTAGGGAGCTATCTACTAAAAGGCTGAAAGACCTAAATTGGTCTTTCAGCCAAATTTACTAATAAGTAAAGATTACTTAGTATCAGTAAATTATGCCCCTACTCGCTATACCGCGAGTAGGGTCATGTTTAGTAAACAGTGAGCAGCCTGTGTAAAAAAAAAAAAAAAAAAAAACCCCTAAAGAAGAATAAGGGGGGGAACCTATTGTCCTCCCCTCTGGGCCCCACCCAAGAGCACAAAACCAGGATACACCACTGCCCCACCCATGAGCGGCGGGTGGGGGCCCTAAGTTAGAATAAGGGGGGGCCTATTGTCCTGGGTGGGGGCCCTAAATAAATTTTTACCCCCCTCATCCTAAAAATAATGAGGGGGGACCATTATCTAGATACTAGTAAAAAAAAATTTAAAAAAATTACCATTTGATGTCTTCTTTCTTCTAAAATCTTTTTTTTCTGCCCCAAAAAACAAAACGAGCGCAAAAAACAAAAACAATGTTCACCCATGGAGGGCTCCGCGCTGACTGAGCTCTACAGGGCGGGGGAAGGCTTATAAAGCCGTGCCCCGCCCTGCAATTAGTGTCGAAGCTGCAGAAGTTCCGAAGTGTCGAAGTCCCGAATGGCTGAAGTCCCAAATTTCGGAATGCCGTACCAAACTGAAATTTTTCCCCATACACATCCCTATTAATTGTGTGCTGGGGACCTATTGGATCCCCAACAAACATGATATTGGCAGCACAGGATGCTAATGTCAATTCTGTGCATATTTTGCATCTGTTGTCACTGCGAAAACAGGTTCTCTATGAGAATCCTGTTATTGGACCGTGCAAGGCCCCTGTGACGTCAGAGAGTTGTGAAAGTCAGCACCAGGAGCTAAGCCTGGCTCTGGGTTCAAGATCTTCTCTACATTGTCCAATAAGGCACTTTACACAGGAAAGTCTCCCCTACAAAGTTTTGCAGTAGCCCTTTAATGAAGCATTTTTGGTATATAGATCTTGCCTAAAGTCTCACTGTTTAATTCAGTCACTTCAATTTCTGTTTAAGAACAAATAATGACTTTATATATTCCATTACATAAATAGAATTGATGGGTACGTGTAAGTTCTACAACTGTGTCTAGGACAGTGGACTCATGCATGTGTCCAGTACATTTCAGATATTCTGCCACTAAACTCATAAGTTCTGAAGCCATTTCCTTTCTATAGCTGTTTGCCCATTGGATAATTAGTCATTAAGGCTCTTTCTGTCTAACAGTATGTTCTATAATTCAGGTTTTTTATTTTCGTTATGACTTGGCTACTATTTTAGTTTCCTTATTTCTGACATCTCTTATTTCTACCATCTCTAGTTTATCTGTGGTTGTGTATTTCTGGCTTCCTTGACCCTCTTTTGGTTTTGTTCTCACGAGGTTGTTCACTAAAGTGAGAAATCAAAATGAATTTAAAATTTAAGGTAAAAATAGCCAAAATTTAAACATTCTCTCAGTAAGCTTTTCTTCCTATTCAGCTACTATAGCCTCAAACATTAAATTCATTTTGAATTCTCACTTTAGTGAATAATCTTGTTAGTGTCATTATTTCTTCCCATTCCTGGAAACCTCTCTGTTAAACCTGGCCAATCTAAACATCTCTCATTTTCTGTTAAATCCTTAATTAGCATATTGTTTACACCTCCCATTTCAAAAAGTTGTACAGTCAATTCGGGGCTTGGGAATAATATGAGAAAAAGTACTGGATATTGATCCTGCAGTTCAATTAGAAAAGGGCAGTATGTGTTTTTAAGAGTAATAGCTTGTACTATGTACTATTAGAGGTGAAGGTAGCAAATATGCCCCAGGTCATCATTTATGTTGTGAAAAATTAATAGCCTGTGCTTAAAATTTAAACAATGCAGGTAGGACGTCTAATGTGTGGTTGCGGCACAGGAAACGCTTGCCAAGAATTCTATGATTCTAGTACAAGTAATTCATCATTTGTGAATTTATGACTTGGTGGAATGTTCACAAATGTTCAGTGAAGTGGTATTCTCCAGAATTTGTCATAGTCTTATGATTCATTTTACAACTTAAGACAAAATCCATATTTGCTGTGACTCTTCAATGCATATAGATATATACAAAAAGCATTTTTGTTGGTACATTATCCTCTTCAAAGAGGTTAGCATATTTAAAATGAAAAGGCACAAGCCCAACACTCATTTTAATACATTTAAATTTGAACTTGAGCAGCATAACCACTATAGTTTGGATGCCACCCCACAAGTTTGTGTCAAAAAACTTCAGCAGTTGGACAAAAGCCAAGGCTATCCCAACATTTAAAGCCTGATCCTTCGGGTTTGGTTAAAGTGGAAGTTGCTTTCTGCATCAGCCCATCCAACTTTGAATAAAAGTTAAAGTCTGAGTGCATAGGGGGCAGGTTTGGCCAGTGGTCTTGTCATATCAGTGCGTGAAAAAGTCAAGAAGAAAAATAAATGTATTTTTTCTGCATTGGCAGTAGAGGGGCTGTTCTGTAAACACTGGGATAATATTGGGTTTTTGTCAAATAGCTCAAAGATCATTAATGCAACATAATCACTGCAAGTTGCCCATTTAAAGGGACACTACACAGTTTCACTGAGATGAAGTTGCCTTTGGGGTTGAAGTCCTTAGGTGCTGTCTAACATTAAAGGACCACTCTAGGCACCCAGACCACTTAAACTTAATGAAGTGGTCTGGGTGCCTGGTCCATCAAGGGTTAACCCATTTTTTTTAATAAACATAGCAGTTTCAGAGAAACTGCTATGTTTATAAATGGGTTAATCCAGCCCTCAAATCCTCTAGTGGCTGTCTCACTGACAGCCGCTAGAGGCGCTTGCGTGATTCTCACTGTGAAAATCACAGTGAGAACACGCAAGTGTCCATAGGAAAGCATTGTAAATGCTTTCCTATGAGACTGGCTGAATGCGCGTGCAGCTCTTGCCGCGCGTGCGCATTCAGCCGAAAGGGAGGAGAGGAGGCGGAAAGCTCCCCACCCGGCACTGGAGAAAGGTAAGTTTTAACCCCTTTCCTCTCCCCAGAGCCGGGCGGGAAGGGGACCCTGAGGGTGGGGGGACCCTCAGGGCACTATAGTGCCAGGAAAACAAGTATGTTTTCCTGGCACTATAGTGGTCCTTTAAGGTACTGTACTTTCACTGGGTGGCCAGTGATAGGCTGAGAGTGTCAGCTGACGCTCTGAGTCAATCACAGGCACCCAGTGATTTCCTTCCTGCTCTCATAAGGCGGCTGAGCGAAGGAGGCAGAAAACAGTCCAGACAAGTACCCGGGACGAACTTCAGTGTTCAAGCATTTGAAAAAGGTAAGACAGGGCCCAGGGACTTCAGCCCCCTTAAAAAAACCTATGTGAGCTTAATTTGTTTAGTTCCTTTATTTAATAAAATGCAGGAGGCATTACCGACTAGATCCTGACACTAGATTGTGACCAGCACCTGGCCAACTAAAATTATCTTGAGAATGGATTTAGCTTGTCTGCTTACCCCCTTGCTTTCAGGTCTACACCTACTACAGTGATTTGGAGTGGTCATGGTGTCTGGAGTCTGTATCTCCAGCAGCATCATAGGGGTATCATCAGCCAGCCCGGAACTCTCATGTCAATTCTGTGCTGACAGTCGATTGGCTGAGAGAAGTCAGCTTACCTTCTCATGAATAAGTGACAAACTGTGGCTTCTGCAGAGCTGCGTCACAAAACCAGCAGGGAGAATCAGAGTCAGACAGGGACCGACGTGAGGGGACAAGCTGTTGCTACTAGGGATAGACCGATTATCTGTTCTGCTTATTATTAGAGCCAATATTCTGCATATTTTCGATAATAAGTATCGGTCTAGTAATTTATCGTTAACTTAATCACCTATGTCAGTTACTGCATGTCATCTTTCTCATCCAAAAATTCCAGTAGCCAGACAGTGAGGTGCCACGTTGCAACCTCATGTCACCTGTCCCTGTAAGTCTCCACATGAGGAGCTCAGCTGTGGGCAGGGAGGTGAGACAATAAATAATCTACTGTAATGTACTGAGCTGACTTACTCAGAGTGAAGGGAGTGTGATGGCTGTCAGAATGTTCAGTGAATGTCAGATTTGAGTTGAAAGTGTGTTTATTTTTCAAAACTTTAAATGTACAGAATATCAGCACCGTTTATCGGCGACCGATAATCTGTATTGGCATCTGTAACGGAGCTCCCTGCAGCGAACCTCCGCCAAAGACCGCTTCCTCGCAGGGGACAAACCACAGCACTCCTGCCCCCAGTCGCCGTGACTTGACAGGAGTCCTGGAACCACTCCATCCTGAAGCCGAATGGGGGAACTCACTTTATCCACTACGAGGTTCTGGACGACACTCAGTCCTGGGAGTCCTAGTCCTTACAAGGACTTTTCCTGCTGAATCCTCCACACTGGAACAAGCTAGAATAGTGATTAGCCCTTTCCCCTCCCAGTAACCAGACGACACATAGTTCTGGGAATACAAGATGGAATGCTTTAATCAGGCCAGATGGCCTGCTTTTATACATTTATGGACACAGTCAAACATGCCCATGACACTCCCACACAAAACAGGATAATCCCTCCCTTGTGCCTGGGAGATAATTGAGTCAGGAACTGTACAAACTCCATTATCTCCAGGTACAGAAAAATATACAATTTATAAAACACCCAAAAATAGACATAAAATACACGAAAACTCCACAAACGTTACATCCCCTGCTAGCCCCGATCTGGGTGACCAACATATCCAAAAATCACCCAGATCGATTCAGGGGTATGGGATTTTCATGGAAGTCAACTATTTGACTGACCGTGCACATGGTCCTATGCCCAAAACAGTTCCATGAAATCATGGCTAGCAGTCGGTCTAGTTTGGTAGTTTAAAAATGAACAAACTACCAAACAGAGTAAATAGGCTTACCCTGGAGCTTGCTCACCTTGTTCATGGGAACGTTTCCACCGAACAGTGTCCTTCTAAGTGGTGTAGAACAGAACGCAGGCGATGCTGGCCAGTGGTGTTCAGGAGTTTCTGTGTCTGATTTCAGTTCCATGACCTTGACGACCAAACACTGCTGCCCGAGTTCCTGCAAACAAGATGGCCGCCACCTTGTGGTCGTTCATGTGAACAGCGGCCACCCAGACAAACAATTAGAACACTGCGATGGAACCTGTTACAAGCCGTCAAAGAAACTCCCAGTTGGTCCATGCAGTGGTGTATCCTGGTTTTGTGCTGCCCTGGGCATATTCCGGCTCCCAGCATCACTCTGCGAGGGAGCTGAGCAGACAGCTCAGGGGAAAGTGCTCCCTTGCCAGCGCTGCCCCCCTGACTGACTGACCCACCGACCGACCTACCGCCCACGCGGCTTGTCAGTTAGCCGCAAGGCTAACAAGACATTTGCCCTTGGCATTTGGGGGTGGCTTTTTTGCCGCCCCCTGGAAAATGCCACCCAAGGCAAATGCCTTGTTTGCCTCGCGGCTAAAACGTCCCTGGGTCCGTGCGCCTGTTCGGTTCCCGAACAGAATAGAGAAAGGGCACGAACCAAGTCAGTTAAACAGTCTTTTACAGGTTTCCCTGCAGGGCCCATAGTCTGTGGGCAGGAGAGTGGCAAGCAGGCTCCTCTAGGAGCTTGTGGCAAAATCACATGGGAAGGAGTTTGTCACAGCATTGGCTCTGGATCCAGAGTTGCTACTACAGCAGTCTGTAGTTTGTATAATGCTTGGAGTAACCTTTTAAGCCTCTTGCATTTTGACACTTCTTGATGTATCAAAGAGAGAAACTGTTGCCTTTAAATTAACTATTTTGATTGGTTGCCAGTTCATCGAGACCATCATTAAAGGGATACTATAGTGCCAGAAATACAAAGCTGTATTCCTGGCACTATAGCTCCCTCTACCTCCCCATACCTCCCCCCTCCCTCGAGCCCAACCCTGCAGCAGTAAATAAAGGGTTAAAAACTCTATTAATTTACATGATCCCAGCGCTGATGTCCCTCAGCGCTGAGTCGTGGCTCCACCTCCTCTGACGTCCCTTGACGAGCGGGCGCTAATGTACATGCACGCCGAGTGGTGCCTCGCATTAGGCCCCCCACAGGAAATAGCTAATGTCCTCATGCTGAGTGTGAGGACATCCAGCATCAGTTAACGAACCAAAGGTTTGTTAGGTTCCACGAAGTGCCTCCAGTGGCTGTTTGGTAGACAGCCACTGTGGGCAAACTTAGTGCTGCAATGTAAACATTGCAGTTTCTTTGCAACTGCAATATTTTACATTGCATTACTAAATGCAATAGGGACAGTGCACACAGACCACTACATTGAGCTGAAGTGGGCTGGGTGCCTATAGTATCAATTTAACTTTCAACAAACGTTGATGCAGGAAGCTCAGCCTTTTGACATCTTAATTCATGAGACAGAAATAGTCCTTGTAACTCTGTCTTATGATGTCTCGTTAGTGAACGGGTACTTCAATGAAATTTCAACATAGCCAACATTGTTATTTCATGAAAATGTTATCTTTATTATATACTCAAATATGACAGAGTCACTTTAAAGCAGCACTGTCATGCCGAATCCTGTTTTGTTTTTTTAACCCCCCTCCGGCATCCACTACATCTAACTGACACCCTAGTCACCCCCAAATGCCCCTAAGCCCCCCACATTACCTATTTTTTATTCCTTATTTTCTGCCCCGATCTATATTCAGGGCGCCGCCATCTTTGTGTGGGTAGAGGAAGTCCCTGTGGGATACGTCATCTGCCCACACTAGATAGACTGTGAGATTCCCGCACATGCCCAGTGAAACACCTGGACATGCGAACGGGAATTTCATCTATTCATTCATTCATCAGACAGACGAATGAGTGAATAGAAATATCAGCCGAACAAACAAACACTGAGTATCTGTGTATCTGTGTTCGTTTGTTCGTTCAGTTTATTACAAGGAGGGAGCTACTGGCACGCAGCTCCCTCCTTGTAATATGTAACTATAGAAGCGGCAGGGAGCAGTGCTCCAAACCACTTCATAAGCCCCCCCAGGTCCCCCAACCACTTCATAAGCCCCCCCAGGTCCCCCAACCACTTCATAAGCCCCCCCAGGCCCCCACCCCTGAGCGGCGGGTGGGGCCATAAAGATAATGAGGGGGGACCTACTGTCCTCCCCCCCCCGGCCCCCACCCCTGCGCGGCGGGTGGGGGCCATAAAGATAATGAGGGGGGGGACCTACTGTTCTCCCCCCCCCGGCCTCCACCTTCTGCCCCCCCTCGCCCCCATAATGATAATGAGGGGGGGGGACGTACTGCCCCCTGAACCCCACCCCTGGGTGGCGGGTGGGGGCCCTAAGTCATTAACCTCCCCCCCAAGGTGACCAGGGAGCCCCTTATCAACCACCCCCCACCCAAATAAAAAGTCCCTACCTACCCCCCTCACCCTAAAAAATAGTAAAAAAATTTGGGTGAAGATGGATTTTTTTTTGCGCTCAGGTTTTTTCTTTTTCGTCTGGTTTTTTTTTGTGCTCGGGATTTTTATTTTATTTTAAATTTGACAGTTATGATGGTTTTTTATTTGGCCTTTTTTGGGGCTGAAAAATGAAGATTTGATAAAAAAGAAGACGTCGAATGGTAAGTTTAATTTTATTTTACAGGTTAGTTATTTTATTCCCCCCTCACTATTTTTTAGGGTGAGGGGGGTAGGTAGGGACTTTTTATTTGGGTTGGGGACCCCTAGTCACCTTGGGGGGCGGGGGGGAATTGACTTAGGGCCCCCACCTGCTGCCCAGGGGTGGGGGCCGGGGGGGGGGAAGGAAAGTAGGTCCCCCCCTCCCTCATTTTCTTTATGGCCCCCACCCGCCGCCCAGGGGTGGGGGCCGGAGGGGGGTGGACAGTAGGTCCCCCCCTCATTATCATTTGGCCCCCACCCGCCGCTCAGGGGTGGGGGCTGGGGGGGGCAGTAGGTCCCCCCATTATCATTATGGCCCCCACCCGCCGCTCAGGGGTGGGGGCCAGGGGGGGAGGACAGTAGGTCCCCCCCATTATCATTATGGCCCCCACTCGCCGCTCAGGGTGGGGGCCGGGGGGGGGCAGTAGGTCCCCCCCATTATTATTATGGCCCCCACCCGCCGGCCAGGGGTGTGGGCCGGGGGGGGGGGGGCAGTAGGTTCCCCTCCCATTATCATTATGGCCCCCACCGTGCAGGGGTGGGGGCCGGAGGGACATTAGGGCTCCCCCCTTATTTTACTTTAGAGCACCAATAGTTTATTTTTATTTTTTTTATAGTGAGCTGTTTACCAGACATGCCCCTACTCGCGGTATAGTGAGTAGGGGCATATTATTTACTAATACTAAGTAACCTTTACTCAGTATTAGTAAAGTTGGCTAAAAGACCAATTTAGGTCTTTCAGCCTTTTAGTAGATAGCTCCCTGATACCGTGGGAATTAGGGAGTTATCTACTAAGCAGCTGCAAGATGCAGCTGCAGCAATGAATAGGATCGGAATTTTATTCATTCGAATGAAATTGCGATCCGAACAAAATGCCGAATTGCGTTCTAAAACAAACAAACATACTGTTCTCATTCAGTTAGAACGCAATTCGGCAGTTTCGTGTAAAGTGACAGGAAGCATCATGGGAACACAGAGGGAAGGTAAGATTAATGGGAAAATTGCTCTGACCAGCGGAAATGAAGCACACTTTGCTCCTCCGCTGGTCAGAGCTGGTCAAGCGGAGGAATCCTCCATAAGGCAAAGAGTCCCTACTTTGTCTTATGATTTTAAAGAAAACTAAAGAAGACAGGAAGAAAATAAGATTGAGGAAAGGTAAGTTCGGCATGACAGTGCCGCTTTAAGTACAGAAACACTAAAAGTTTGAATGCATTTTTTTTTATATTTGTGGAGTGTTCTGTCCTTCATAGCAAGAAAAAAAAGAAACTTGTATATATGCAGTATAACTGTCACATATCAAAACCACCTCTCTTGTCCTAGGTGCTCCAGATATATGAATTTCCTGGAATTGGGTCATTGCTCAGTTATCCTGGCATAGAAAATGGTATTTAGCTCTATTGGACATCGAATGATTTGTGAAACTGCCTCCTAAGGGGTTAAATACAATGAAGCATATTACCTTAGGCATTATCCAACTAAAGTTATAAGGAGAGTCATAATAAGAGAAACAAATCAAAACATTACTCTGTCTATATAGAAACCTTTAATCTTGATCAGTAAAGGTTACCGAGTATTTAAATTGGATTATATGGATAAAAAAAATTGTATGAGTAGTAAACATCAAACTGTTTAAAAATATGATGAATCAGCTTGAAAATTTGTGATCCTAATGACCTGCCATTCAACCAAATAAAAATTAGTAATACCTCTGAGACTTTCAAATTGGAAAGTTTCCAAGTATGATTGTGGCAATGTGGAGTTCAATTTCTAAAAGCCAATTGTGCTCAAGTGAGCCAGAAGCAAGAAAGAACTACTGTAGTTGTCTTATATTTATTTTACTCTAAATTCAATATTCTGTATTGGATTATTCTTTAATGAACTGGTAGTTTAAAAACTTGTATTAAGTTGTCTCTTCCAAATAATAATAATCATCATTAAAAACATCATATGCCTATATAAATTTTGTGTACTGTAACATCCTGATATATGTTTTATTTGTGCCATTTCCCAGAAGCCATCACTTCTGACAGCTCATAATAAAGAGCATCTTCTTGTACAATACCCATCCTACTGTGCATGCCAGTGGTGTATCCTGGTTTTGTGCTGCCCTAGGCAGGACAAAACTCAGGCGCCCCCCTCCCCCCGCGCCACCCCCACCCATCCCTTCCCCCCGCCCCACCTTCTAAATACACACACACACAGTCAGACACAAACACACACAGTCAGACAAACACACACACACACACAGTCAGACACACACACACACACAGTCAGACACATACACAGACACAAACACAGTCAGACACAAACACACACACACACACAGTCAGACACAAACACACACACAGTTAGACACATACACAGACACACAAACACACACACACACAGTCAGACACAAACACACACACAGTCAGACACACACACAGTCAGACACAAACACACACATACACAGTCAGACACACACACACACACTCACAAACACAGTCAGACACAAACACACACAGTCAGACACAAACACACAGACAAACACACAGTCAGACACATACACACACACACACTCACAAACACACAAACACAGTCAGACACAAACACACACACACAGTCAGACACAAACACACACACATACACAATCAGACACAAACACACACACAGAGTCAGGCACAAACACACACACACAGTCAGGCACAAACACACACACACAGTCAGGCACAAACACACACACACAGTCAGACACACACACACACACACATTAACTTTTTTTTAATTTAAATCCCCCCCCAACCTCCTTACCTTTGGGAGTGCTGGGGGGGGTCTCTCTCCCTGGTGGTCCGGTGGCTGCAGGTCAGGCGGGCGGCGCTGACAGGCGGGCGGCCGGCGAGGGTGCACTACCTATGAGCTGACTGCTCAGCTCCCTCGCGCGCCGGCTGCAGAGTGAGGCTGGGAGCCGGAAGATGACGTCATCTTCCGGCTCCCAGCCTCACTCGCGCCGCTCGCTCCCTCGCCGGCGTCGCCCGCTCGGGATGTCAGTTAGCCGCAAGGCTAACTAGGCATTTGCCCTGGGCATTTGGGGGGGCGGCGTTTTTTGCCGCCCCCTGAAAAATGCCGCCCAAGGCAAATGCCTTGTTTGCCTCGCGGCTAATACGCCCCTGGTGCATGCGAGTGAAGATCTATAGAGAGCCTACCATCATGATCTACTAGTTTTCTACTCTTGTGCATGTGCAGGTGTATTAGAAAGCATACCTCTTGGTGGCTTCACATGAGTTGAGCTGGAAGATATGTTCATCTGGGACATCAGGAAAGTTAGTGCTAGATTACAGGTAAGTTTAAAGGGTAACTAAAGTTCCAGGAAAACAAAGTTGATTTCACAGCGTGCATAGCATGAGGACGTAGGACGTCCAACATCAGTGACCAAAGGTCACCTAACAACACGTAAGACCATCTAGTGTTTGTCTGGTAGACGGCAACTAAATTGGAGTTAACCCTAGATAGTAATTATTGCAGTTTGCTCAATAATTGCTTTTGCAAGGTTAAGGGACCTGCAATGAGCTGATGTGGTATGGGTGCCTATAATGTCCCTTTAACTGCTTTTGTTAACAGTTTTAAAATTATAACAAAGGGTTGGGCTGAATATAATAAGAAAATCTTTAAAAATAATATATTACTATATTAAATAAAGCATATATATATATATATATATATATATATATATATATATATATATTAGCATGCTGAGCTAAGATAAAGAAAGTGACTCCACAGTCCAAACAATGTGACCTGCAAACCTAGTCCATCAACATGCAATTGGAATTAGAACAGTATCCTGCATACATTTTATATTTACGAATCATTGTGGAATATATTTTCTTGAAAACACTGCATCACATACACTCCCTAGATTGTGTTACTTTAGAACAATGTATCGGTGTCAGAAAGAGGACTATCATTGTAATATAAGAACATAAATCATCAGGAAGCACACAGGTGTAGTCTGATAAGGGAGTGGAGGAAATAAAATGAGATTACATATTTCTGCAGCATTCTGGCTGTTCTCCAGTCTCCGGGCCTGGATGAGAATGTAGACTAGTATCAGCTGACACAGACTGCCAGGATGTGGTAGTTGTGGAAGTAGATGGAGAAGAAATTTGGAAAGCGGGAGTACTGCATGCATAATAGGATTAGACGTGCACTTGTTTGAAAAAGAGAGATATAAAGTCTCTAGTGTTCTGGAGTAATTTCATCCGCACTTTGACTGTCACAATGTTGCCAGTAAATGTTCCGTATAAGAGGAATCTCCTTATTCGGAGAGGGAACAGTCATCAGAAGAAGCTTTTAAATTGAGTTGTGTCTGATATGATTGTTTTAATTACTGTGTTAAACATGTCCAGGCTCCAATGCCAAATTTAAATATAATTTATTGCTCTCTTTCACAAAAAGTTTTTTTTATACAGTTGACACACTCACATCAAATAAACAAATTAAACAGCCAATATTATAATACAGGTATAACCGATATCAGATTGTTGTTTTTTTTGTATGAGAATAAGAATGATAGTAGTCTGTTGATAAAGCAATATCTTCTACTAAAAAATGTACATAGAAAAAAATAAAATAAAAAAACCCTCTACAGTGGTCTGTGAACACTTGAAAAGTGCACTATTGCAGCTGTCATTAGACATTGTTTAAAGTGGGGGGAGAAACTATTGCCCAGTATGAAAGACTGTAAAACTGTTAGTAGGAGTTATGTGAGAAGGGGAACCAAAAACACCAGATACTGAAGGTATTCGTAGTGGTATGGAACTACCATAAAGTGGGTCTAAGCTATGTTCCCTTCCCTCTTTGATATGCTTTAGTATGCCTCATAACAGATACTTAAACCAGGTTTTCTGACTTATATCGTTTTGTTCCATGCTTAGAAATGTTATTGGTCTAGTTAAAAAAACAAAACAACGAACCGCACCCCAATCACGTGAAGATCCGGGTGCTAAACTGGACCAATGGCCAGCACCAGCCCCAGGAAGCAGATACCAGTGGAAGAAAGAGGATCCAGGCACTCCAAATATCTTATAAGGACAAGCGAGTCACTGCAACGTTTCGACCCCTGAAAGGGTCTTTGTCAAGCTTGAAACGTTGCAGTGTCTCACTTGTCCTAATAAATACATTTGAAGATACTTTCAGTGCCTGGATCCTCTTTCTAGCATTGGTCTAGTTCAAGGCAGGTTCTAACATAGACACATCACAGAGCCAGGCAACTCCATATGGGCCATGCCATGGAAGCAGGGTTTGTTTTTTATGATCTTTATAAATTATAAAAAACAAGCAAACCTATATGACTTCATGGCCCATGAAGACCAATATACAGAGTAATACACCCTAGTTTCCAGCTTCAGCTATAAATAAGGATAGACATGCGCTCACACTGTGAAGACTAGTCTATGTCAAGATCAAAACAAAATCTCAAGATCAAAATCTTAACTATTGCTACCCACTGGTTAAGCAATTGCTGGGTCTGTTCATAGACCGACATCAAGACATTCAGTGCAGTTTAGCTTATCAGGACCTTTACCAGATTAGCTTAGATCTACACTTCTAGAGGTTTTCATGGACATCATAAAATTACCGTTGCCACCGAGATTCCTGGGAAATCAAAACCACAGACTGTATAAGTTTTATTACGTTTTCGTACTCTGACATAAAACATGTTATATTGGGCAGTATCAAACCATTCTGTAAATTTGTGGAACAACAGGCATACACCTATATAGCCTAGTGGAGAAATCAGTCATTGTAAACATTAACTACAGGATATATTAAACATCTAAGCATCATAATTACCATATATACTCGAGTATAAGACGAGTTTTTCAGCACATTTTTTGTGCTGAAAAACCCCCACTCGTATTATACTCGAGTCAATGTCTGTATTATGGCAACTTACATTGCCACAATACAGACCAGGACCGCAGGGCTCATTACAAGCCCGGCGGTCCTGTTGGGGGCTGGCAGAGAGCTGTTACTTACCTTTCCTGCAGCTCCTGTCAGCTCCCTTCTCTCTCCTCCGGTCCGGTCAGCTCCACTGCAAGTCCCGTGCAGCACTCACACCGTGAGACTGTTTATTACAGGGGAGCTGACCGGACCGGAGGAGAGAGAAGGGAGCTGACAGGAGCTGCAGGAAAGGTAAGTAACAGCTCTTAGCCAGCCCCCCTCCTACACAGCCCATCCACTGGACCACCAGGGAATGAGAGCCCCCCTCCCTGACCAGCTAACAAGCAGGGAGGGGGGAACGAATAAAAATATAAATAATAATTTAAATAATAAAATAAAATTAATAATATTTTTTTTAAATAATAATAAAATATTAATAATATAACAAAAAAATATTAAAATAATAATAATTTTAAAAATATAATAAAAATGCCCTCCCGCCACCAAGGCTCTGCATCACATACACAAACACATTCTGCATCACACACACACACACACTGCATTCATACACACACAAACAAACACACACTGCATTCATACAAACACACTGCATTATACACACACACACACACACACTGCATTCATACAAACACACTGCATTATACACACACACACACTGTGAATAAATATTCAATTAATATAATTTTGGGGGGATATAATTTTATTTAGAAATTTACCAGTAGCTGCTGCATTTCCCACCCTAGTCTTATACTCGAGTCAAGACGTTTTCCCAGTTTTTTGGGGTAAAAGTAGGGGTCTCGACTTATAATCGGGTCGACTTACACTCGAGTATATACGGTATTCTATGGTACTACCCAGAGAAAAATGTTGATGACAAACAAGATAGCATTGGCACTATATTTCATATTTATATTTTGTGCCCATCTATAACTGTATGTTACTGGATAAACAATCTTACATAAGGGAAAGGTAATAAACATGCAAGTTTAATCACAAAACCCCAATGGATGCATGTACTTTCAAAGAATGTTCTACAAAACACTGATGACTTGTAAATTGCAAGAACAATTTAATTTGACTTTAAATTATTTTGTTGATATAATCCAACCTTAAGATGAAAACAGAGGTTATAAAATAATTTTGTATTCAATAACAAGGTCCACTAAGAAAAAAATAAAAAATAAAAAAAAAGAAGAATAGTGCATTTTTCTAATGTATTTTAATTACCAATTTTCCTATTGAAACTGTATACTTTTTATATTTTAATTACTTACTAACAAAACAGCAAAAATAAATGAATTTTAAAAAACAAATAGGATTTTGTTGGTGGGACATTGTCACACTGCAAGTTTTTATTGTATATATAGTGGTGCTCAAAAGTTTGCATAACTTTGGAGAATTGGTAATACATGTACCATTTAAAAAAAAAAAAAAAAGAAAACATGAGTGAGCAGGCAAAACATTTCTTTTATTTCTTATATGATTCATATTCAACTGTAAGTTATAACAGAATGGCACAATCATAAAACAATATATGGCAACAAAGAAAAAAAATGAAATGACCCTTTATCAAAAGTCTGCATACCATTAGTTCTTAATACCGTGTATTTTATCCTTTAGCATCAATGACAGCGTTCAGTCTTTTGCAATAGTTGTCTATGAGGCCCCTAATTGCAGGTGATATAGCTGTCCATTCGTCTTGGCAAAATGCCTCCAGGTCATGCAAAGTCTTTGGTCGTCTTGTATGAACCGCATGTTTGAGATCCCCCCAGAGTGGCTTGATGATATTAAAGGACCACTATAGTGCCAGGAAAACACACTCGTTTTCCTGGCACTATTGTGCCCTGAGGGCGCCCCCACCCTCAGGGACCCCCTCCCGCCGGGCTCTGGGGAGAGGAATGGGTTAAAATCTTACCTTTCTCCAGCGCCGGGCGGGGAGCTCTCCTCCTCCTCTCCGCCTCTTCGGCTGAATGCGCATGCGCGGCAGGAGCTGCGCGCGCGCATTCAGCCAGTCTCATAGGAAAGCATTCATAATGCTTTCCTATGGACGCTTGCGTCTTCTCACTGTGATTTTCACAGTGAGAAGCACGCAAACGCCTCTAGCGGCTGTAAATGAGACAGCCACTAGAGGCTTTAGAGGCTGGATTAACCTATTTATAAACATAGCAGTTTCTCTGAAACTGCTACGTTTATAAAAAAAATGGGTTAACCCTAGCTGGACCAGGCACCCAGACCACTTCATTGAGCTGAAGTGGTCTGGGTGCCTAGAGTGGTCCTTTAAGGTCAGGAGACTGTGATGGCCACTCCAGAACTTTCAAGTTTTTCTGCTGTAACCACTGGAGGGTCAACTTGGCCTCGTGCTTAGTCATTGTCATGCTGGAAAGTCCAAGAGCATCCCATGCGCAGCCTTCCTGCATAAGAATGCAAACTGTCTGCCAATATTTTCTGATAACATGCTTGCCATCAATTTTCATAAGATTCCTCGTGCCTTTAGAGCTCACACCTCCCAAAAACATCAGTGAGCCACCACCATGCTTCACAGTGAAAATTGTATTCTTTTCACTATAGGCCTTGTTGACTCCTCTCCAAACATAGCGCTTGTGGTTGTGTCCATAAAGCTCTATTTTGGTCTTCTCGCTCCAAATTACAGTGTGCCAGAAGCTGTGAGGCGTGTCAAGCTATTGTCGGGAATATTGTAACCGGGCTTTTTTGTGGCATTAGTGCAGTAAAGACTTCCTTCTGGCAGCTCATTTTTGTTCAAGTATCGTCATATCGTGCTCCTTGAAACAACCACACCGTCTTTTTTCCAGAGCAGCCTGTATTTCTCCTGAGGTTACCTGTGGGTTTTTCTTTGTATCCTGAACAATTCTTCTGGCAGTTGTGGCTGAAATCTGACTGTGGCTTGGTATCAAGAGATCCCCGAATTTTTCAATTCTTAATAAGTGATTGAACAGTACTGACTGTCATTTTCAAGGATTTGGATATCATTTAATATCCTTTTCCAACTTTATAAAGTACCATTACCTTGTTATGCAAGTCTTTTGACAGTTCTTTTTCTGCTCCCCATGGCTCAGTATCTAACCTGCTCAGTGCATCCATGTGAGAGCTAACAAACTCATTGGCTATTTATAGTCAATTACACTAATTACAATTTAATAAAGTCACAGGTGTGAGAAATCAACCTTTAATTGCCATTTTAACATGTGTGTGTCACCTTGTGTGTCTGTAACAAGGCCAAATATTCAAGGGTATGTAAACTTTTGATCAGGGCCATTTGGGTGATTTCTGTTATCATTATGATTTTAAAAGGAGCCAAACAACTATGTGATAATAAATGGCTTTATATGATCACTATTCTTCAATACATTTTTTTTTTTTGCATGATCATTCATATTTTCAAAATCAATGCCAAAAATTCACAATTTATGCAGGGTATGCAAATTTTTTACACACACTATATGGAGAAAAGTATTGGGAAACCTGACCAGTACACCAACTGTTGGGGTACTGTGAAGTAATGGTGGGCTTAACACAATATGGCCATATGGTGGAACAGAATCCCCATATTTGTTTGCTGTGATAGGTGATGTTAAGTAGCCTTAGAAAATGTAAAACTATATTTGTATGTGTGCACTGTTCTTTAATCTGTATTTTTCAAATTGCCCAAAATGTATTGGTATGCTTAAGAATTAAGATTTCCCTTCCTGATAAGGGGTCTAGCCTAACCCCTGAAAACCAGCCCCACACCATTATCCCTCCTCCACCAAACCTTACAGTTGGCGCAATGCAGTCAAGCAGGTAACATTCTCCTGGCATCGATAAAACTTTCACCGATTCACCCTTTAGACTGCCAAACAGAGAAGAGTCATTCATCACTCCACAGAACACATTTCCACTGCTCCAGAGTCCAGTGGTGGCATGCTTTACTCGACTTGATCAGTATCATGGCATTGAACTTGGTGATGTGAGGCTTGTATGCAGCTGCTCTGCCATGGAAACCTATTCCATGAAGCTCCCGCTGATATTGATGTCAGTGGTAGTTTGGAATTCGTCAGCTATGGACTCAGCAGAGCATTGGCGACTTTTATGCAATCATGCACCTCAGCAGTAGATGACCTCGCTCTGTGACTTTACATGGTCTTCCGCTTCATTGCTGAGTAGCTGCTGTTCCTAAATGCTTACACTTTCCAATAATAATGCTTACAGTTGACTGTGGATTATCTAGCAGTGATGAAATTTTACCAACTCACTTACTGAAATGTGGCATCCCATCACAGTACCATGCATGAATTCACTGAGCTCTTCAGAACGACCAATTTGTTTCATGTAAATGCAGATTGCAAAACTAGGGCATGATTTTATACACCTGTGGCAATGGGTCTGATTGAAACACCCGAGTTCAATAATTAAGAGGTTTGTCCCAATACTTTTGTCCATATAGTGTGTATAATATATACACATACACACACATTCACATACAAACACACATTTTTTTTCCTAAAACAGCACCAGTAATCTTTGCGTAAAAGCGATTCCAATTTCAAAAGATTATTTCCTGTGCTGGCTCTTTACCTTGCATGTATTGAAATTACATTGCCTATGGGAATTCTTTTATTACAGTGCATGTAAGTGGATACTTACATTTTATTGTAATGTTTTATTTTTTAACATCTTCCCTCCCTTTCCAAGTATCATGTGGTAAAAAGTCTGCCTCAAATTCATCCACAACACAGTGTATTGAGAGAGACCTCCTGCAGATTGTTTGGGAATTATATACCATATACATTAACTCTTTAAAGACTGTAGTCAAAACATCATGACAGGCATTTTTAGAACCTTTGCTATCTGTGTGTTCTACTCTACTTTCACATTAAGTACACCCATACATATTACATATTATTTTATAAAATGAAAGAGTTGGCCCTTTTGTGATATGTATGCATAATACAACATTATGGATGAGTAATATATATATATATATATATATATATATATAGTGAACCCAGTTTTTTTTCATAGCTTTGTTTATAATAATTACTCAAAATAGGTTCATGTCCTGAACCTATAATTTCGTCAGCTGTTCCTGTTTGCAATTTTGGAGTGCACACATTGAACACATGAAGATTAAATAGTGTGCAGCTTAAAGTCACATACGCCTGCAAGATATGAGCCAATTCATTATAGCATATACAACATTTCAAATAGACAAAGAGGGACAATTCCATTTTTGAGGTGTGAGTGAAGATGTGGCCAGGGGAGGGCTCTTCTGAGAAATATTAGGACTTACTAATAACAATTTATACAACTAAAATGTAATTTCTAACAAGAACATCAAATCTTGTAGTTTAAAGAAATATTACTCAAAATTATTGCCGTGAAGCTCTTTTATACAGTCAGACACACCAAAAATATGGAGCTCCTAGAAAAGAGGAACAATAGGATAAAAAAAAAAAAAGAGACAAAGGGATTTGGATACAACATAGGGACTGTGCGTACTAAATGGGAACACTTGGAAAGTATGCTTTATTATCTTCTCCATGTGAGTGTGCTGATTATACCAAAGTCTTGATTATATTTCAATGGTGGTATATAATTTTAAGGCTTTTTTTTTTTTTTAATGAATATAATTTTTATTTATTCTTGTGTTACTTACGTTGAGATCGGAGACTCGCAGGTCTCTAAGGTGAGTAGTCATAATTTTTTCCTTGAAAACAACAATGTATGTTTGGGCTCGCAGGCCCACAATGTTGACGGACTTGCAAGTCCCTATTTTCCAGGTTCACAAGCACCTTCAAGTACATCTTACCATCTGCCATTTGTTTTCCTAATTGGGTTTTGTTTACATGGTTTATACGTTTCATGTACAGTAGCCGGTGGTCTCGTTATGTTTGTGTTGAGGTTCGCAGACCTCGTATGCAGCCTTTATTGTTAGGCGCCGTTCAGGTCCCTAAATTTAGTGTTGGGCTTTATGCCTGTAGCAGATTTATGTGAGTCTCCCCTTAGTGTCCCGGGTGTCCTGTATCTAGGGTACTGTGTACCTGTGTTGAGAGGTTTATGACTCATATTTCGGGGGGGTGTGAATGTAATTCGTTGCTGCCCTCAGGCTATGTTGTGGTTATCCCGTCTGCTCAGCCTATGTTTCATTAGGGTCGTGTCTCTTGGAATTTATGGGTTGTGTGTGAACCCGTGTGGGTTTTCCGTTCAGGGCCCTAGTGTCTCCTCTATATGAAATAATTTCTGCTTTGGTTGGGGTATCGTCCTGTGTGGGTCTTTAGAAGAGAGGGGGTGGGGAAGGTCGGGGTCAGGGTGAGGAGGGGGGTGTCTGTAGTCGTTGTCTCCGTCATCTGTCGTCTAGTGGGTGTTCTAAGCCTAACTGTCCGTGGTCTGGCGTACGTCTGTTCTGAGTTCCATTTGGAATCCTTCCTTCGCTGTCTCTAGGATCCAATACGTCCAAATGTCCGTGTAGGTCTTTGTGGTCACGTTAGTCGTCATGGTCAGTTCTTCTGTTATTCGGAGTTCCTCCATTTGGCTGAACCAAGTCTTAAGTGGAGGTGTTATGTTCTGTTTCCAGTATTGGGGGATTACCCGTTTGGCTATATTGAGTATTCGGATGGTCATGGATCGTTTGTACTTAGAGTGTGGTGTAGGAGTGTGGTGTAGGAGCATTGCTGCTGGTTCCAAGGGGGGTGGTTCGTCTGTGAATTTCTCGAGCATTCTGTGTATGTTTTGCCAATATGGTTTAATTTTTGTGCAGTCCCACCAGATGTGTTTTATGTCTCCCTCTTCTCGTTGGCATCTCCAGCATAGGCCAGATTGATCTGGGTTTATCTGATGTAGGAGGTGTGGTGTCCTGTACCAGTGGGTTAGTATTTTGTAGGCTGTCTCTTGTGTTTTACTGTGTGTGGAGCAGTGGTGTGTGAGGTAGCAGATGGATTCCCATTCTGTGTCTGTCAATGTGTGTCCTAGGGCTTTCTCCCATTTCCCCATAAATACAGGTGTCTCGGTTGGGATGTCTGTTTGCAACATGGTGTATAGGAAGGACACTCCATGTGGGAGCTGGTCTGGGTGCATGCATATCACCTCTATTGTGGTATGTTCTCTGGTGAGTGCTGAGCCCTGTGGTAGGGTGTGGATGTAGTTGGTTAGTTGGGAATATCGAAAGTTGTGCATGAAAGTCGGGGGTGCGTCTCCCATCATGTCCGGAAGCTTTTTGCATTTCCCATCTTGCATGACGTGATGTAAGCATGGGTGTGTGTCTGGAAGGATGCCTCTAAGGGCCCTCGGGTCTAGTCCCGGGGGGAAGTCTTTGTTAAACGTCAATGGAAGGAGGGGAGAGGGGTATGGCGATATGTTTCCCTTCACCGCTACTCTTCTCCATATTTTTAGGGTGTGTTTGGTGTAGATGGACATTTCGTCCCAGTTCGTCGCGTTTCGGTCCCATGGCAGTCCCGAGATTGGTCTACCCGCCTCCGTCTCCTCCACCGTCTTCCACAGTTTGTGTACCCTGTCTTTTGTCCACTCTACAACTCTCTGTAGGTGTGTGGCCACATAGTATAGGTGGAAGTCTGGGAGGGCTAAGCCTCCTTTATCTTTAGGTCGCGTCAGGATAGTGAATTTCACCCTTGGTTTCCCCCCATTCCATATGTATTTTATCATCTCTGTTCTAAGGGTTTTAAAAAAGGGGCTCGGGAGCTCGATGGGGCTGGCTTGGAGGAGATAGAGGAGGCGTGGTAAGAAGTTCATTTTTATTACTTGTACCCTCCCCAGCCAGGAGATGTGAGGGTGTGCCCATTCCCGCATGTCTTTTTGAAATGTCTGAAGTGTGTTTGTAAAGTTTTCCTTAAGCATGTCCCCGCTCTGCCTAGTCAACCAGACTCCCAAGTATCGGATCTTGTGCTCGGCCCACTGGAAGGGGAAGCTGTGTCGAAGGGAGTTTGCCCGTGTGGTAGGGATGCTAATATTAAGAATGAATGATTTACTGTTATTGATCTTCAGGTTGGATATTTCTCCATATACCTGTAGGTCTTTCTGGATGTTTGGGAGGGAGATTTCAGGGTTGGTTATGATGAAGAGTAAATCGTCCGCATAGGCGGCCACTTTGTGGTGTGTGGTATCTGTCGTCAGGCCAGTTATGTCTGTGTTGTTTCGGATGTGTGTAAGGAACGGTTCGAGGGCAAGGACGAACAGGAGTGGCGAGAGGGGGCATCCCTGCCTCGTGCCATTGTGTTAAGGCTTTTTTTTATGGAAACATTTAAAAGTGAACATCCCTGTGCCAAACAAGGTATGCGTGTTTATTTATGTTAATTTGAGTACGTCACTTATATACAGGTGGTGGTTTTAATCACTCAGTATTAATCGCATATTGTTTAGCACATCTTAACTGAAAATCTCACTGTTAACATTAGATAAAAGAATTCTAAATGTACTTACAGAATTGCAGACTGAGGCTGAGAAAGGCCAGGAGAGCAGCTAAGGCCAGCAGTAAAAGAAATCGGTTTCTGAGAAGCATTCTTCAATTTCTTCTACTTCCTCTTCATGGTTTTATGCTCATACCTCAGCATGTCTATCAATACACAAAAAGGAAGGTAAACGTTATTCACATTGCCTTTAGACTAGATGAACTAATAAAAGAAATCATGCAACAGAACAACTCAAACACATTAAATGTAATCTGCACAGTCCAAACTAGGTTTTGGTGTTTAAAAATGTCTACAATAAAGAGTTTTTTAAATAATTTTTTTAAGTTCAAATAGTGCAAATTCAAAACGAAGGTCTCAATTAAACTCTATATAAGGATCAAGGTTTTAAATGAGATTTTCATATATTTTCGGCCAGCTTTAATGCAAGCCAATATTCAAGCACTCGAGCTTGATAAATGGGGCAGCAAACTAAAATAATACCACTAATAAATGTGCATCAAAAGCATATTTACAGTCCTTAAATATTATATTAGTATTGCAGAAGGTCTTAATGGTAAGGCATAACTTTTTGCTGATGATACTAAGATTTGCAACAGGGTAGATGTTCCAGGAGGGATAAGCCAAATGGCAAATGATTTAGGTAAACTAGAAACATGGTCAGAGTTGTGGCAACTGACATTTAATGTGGATAAGTGCAAAATAATGCATCTTGGACGTAAAAACCCAAGGGCATAGTACAGAATATTTGATAGAGTCCTAACCTCAACATATGAGAAAAGGGATTTAGGGGTGATTATTTCTGATGACTTAAAGGTAGGCAGACAATGTAATAGAGCAGCAGGAAATGCTAGCAGAATGCTTGGTTGTATAGTGAGAGGTATTAGCAGAAGAAAGAGGGGAGTGCTCATGCCATTGTACAGAACACTGGTGAGACCTCACTTGGAGTATTGTACACAGTACTGGAGACCGTATCTTCAGAAGGATATTGATACCTTCAAGAGTTCAGAGAAGGGCTACTAAACTGGTTCACGGATTGCAGGATAAAACTTACCAGGAAAGGTTAAAGGATCTTAACATGTATAGCTTGGAGGAAAGACGAGACGGGGCGATATGATAGAAACATTTAAATACATAAAGGGAGTCAACACAGTAAAAGAGGAGACTATATTTATAAGCAGAAAAACTACCACAACAAGAGGACATAGTCTTAAATTAGAGGGGCAAAGGTTTAAAAATAATATCAGGAAGTCTTACTTTACAGAGAGGGTGGATGCATGGAATAGCCTTCCAGCTGAAGTGGTAGAGGTTAACACAGTAAAGGAGTTTAAAGGACCACTCTAGGCACCCAGACCACTTCAGCTTAATGAAGTGGTCTGGGTGCCAGGTCCTTCTAGGGTTAACCTTATTATAAACATAGCAGTTTCAGAGAAACTGCGATGTTTATGAATGGGTTAAGCCTTCCCCCTAATCCTCTAGTGGCTGTCTCATTGACAGCCACTAGAGGGGCTTGCGTGCTTCTCACTGTGATTTTCACAGTGAGAGCACGCCAGCGCCCATAGGAAAGCATTGAGAATGTGCCGCGCATTCAGCCGACGGGCGATCGGAGGAGGAGAGGAGGCAGAGCCTCCGCCCAGCCTGGAAAAAGGTGTGTAAGTTTAACCCTTCCAGAGCCGGGCGGGAGGGGGTCCCTGAGGGTGGGGTACTCCTCAGGGTATACCCGCTGCGCCAGAAAAAACGAGTATGTTTTCCTGGCACTATAGTGGTCCTTTAAGCATGCGTGGGATAGGCATAAGGCTATCCTAACTATAAGATAAGGCCAGGGACTAATGAAAGTATTTAGAAAATTGGGCAGACTAGATGCGCCGAATGGTTATCTGCCGTCACATTCTATGTTTCTGTATGGAGTGCCAAAGGTTGCCTACCCCCACTATGAACATATGACTCAAAAAGAGTTGATTAAGAAAATAAAACAAATTTGAGCGCGTGCAGGTCTTGTTGATTAATATTTCACAGGCTTATATGAACCAGATTAGACCAATTTACAACAGGATCACTGTTTCTTGATGGGGACTAAATGTTGATCCTTTTGTAATTTGCACTAATCAGCCTCAAAAAATAGTGATGACATATTCACCTACAAGACCTGTGAGTGTTCGTCTTTCGATTTCTATAACTTTGGCCTGATTTACAGCACAGAGGCAAGTACTTTATTTGCAAAGTTGTTGAGTGCTGAGCTCATTTAAGGTCTGTGTGTGCATGTGTGTATGTATACACACACATGCACACATGCACAAACACACCTCTGTGCTAAAGATTTAGGCAGGTGTGGGAATGTGTGTAATGCAAAAATTATTTCAAAAATAGCAATGGTAATGCTTATTTGTCAATTAGCAGAATGAAAAGTGAATGAAAAAAGGATCAAATCAATATTTAATGTGAACACTCACTGCCTTCAAAGCAGCATCAACTATTCTAGGTACACTTGCACACAGCTTTGGAAATCAGCTTGTTGGATGTTCCTCTAACCCAGGGGTAGTCAACCTGGTCCCTACCGCCCACTAGTGGTGGGTGGGTTCTGCAGAAAACGTCCAGTGGTCCTTGATAGCCGTGGACCAAGGCCTTTCATCTCCCCTGCCGGCCCATGTAGAGCCAGTCTTGTTGTAAGCCGGGCTGGTGAGCAGTCAAAGATCTCCTCACCAGCCCGGTGGGAGTTAGATCCAGCAGAGGGAGGTAAGGGCCTGGGAGGTTCCTCGCACAAGCAGGCTGGTCGGAGCATTGCCGCACGTTGCCATGGCAACACTCCGATACATTGTTGTGCTTGCAGGAGAAAAGGAGAGTCAGCCTGCAGCCGGAGTAGCTACAGGCTAAAGTGAACATGCCACCACTGGACCACCAGGGCTTGCAGCAGAGCAGACCAGATAGATTTTCACATCTCACCCACCTAAAAACACAGCATAGACACTATGTACCTTTCACACACAAACACATCCTACACCCCTCACACTTACTAAACCTCTCACACACTACATCCCTCATGCACACACACACGCGCACTGCCCCCCCTCACGCATGCCCGCACTGCCCCCCACACGCTCGCACTGCCTGCCTTCTCACACACAGCATCTCGTAGATGCACATAGGAAAAAAAAAAGTAGAATAGAAAATAAAAAAGGGAAAAATACATTAATTTTATTTAAAATTATTTAAAAAACAAAACAAAAAAACATCCTTTCTAAAAAAAAAAAAAAAATTTTTTTTAACCCCTTCAGGACGGAGTCAATAGTACACGTTCTGATCAAAACAAAACGTAAACAAAAACTGTAATTTGCGCTATATGTCTGTTCACCCGTAATTCACCGCTGTCACATTAAGTGCACCCACACTTATTATATAACATTTTGTTCAGGAGAAACAGGACTTTAATTTATCATTAATTATTCATATATGGAACATCATTTATTATGAATAAAATGTAAAAAATGTTTAGAAAATAAGATTTTTTTTTACATTTGTATTTCCGTCTGACATTTTAGCTGTGAATGTCATAATACTGTTAGGTATTACTGCAAAAAAATGCACATATTTGTAATCAGCGATGTCTCACGAGTACAACAGTACCCCCCATTAACAGGTTTTATGGTGTTTTGGAAAGTTACAGGGTCAAATATAGAACGTTCCATTTTCAAATTGAAATTTGCCACATTAGTAATGTTACCTTTGAGACAGTGTGGTAGCCCAGGAATGAGAATTACCCCCATAATGGCATACCATTTGAAAGAGTAGACAACCCAAGGTATTGAACGTGGGGTATGTTTAGCCTTTTTTAGTAGCCACTTAGTCACAAACACTGGCCAAAGTTAGCGTTCATATTTGTTTTTGTGTGAAAAAAGCAAAATACTAATATTTGGCCAGTGTTTGTGACTAAGTGGCTACTAAAAATGACTGGACATACCCCATTTGCAATGCCTTGGGTTGTCTACTTTTGCAAATGGTATGCCATCATGGGGGTAATTCTTATTCCTGGGCTACCATACGCTCTCAAAGGCAACATAACCAATCTCGCAAATTTCAATGTCAAAAAAATGAAATGCAAGCCTTATATTTGACTCTCTAACTTTCCAAAACACCATAAAACCTGTACATGGGGGTTACTGTTTTACTCGGGAGACTTCGCTGAACACAAATATTAGTGTTTCAAAATGGTAACTTGTATTACAACAATAATTTCGTCAGTAAAAGTGCCATTCATGTGTGAAAAATGCAAAAAAAACACTTTTATTAAAAATATAAGTGTAAATAAATTATGATTATTATTAATTATTGTAATTATATGTATATAAATAAATAAATAAATAAAAGATACATTTTGGAGGGAAATGGTGGTCACAGTTGATAAAGCTTTTTCTTCTGTTCACTTACTGTGCATTTTGTGATTCATACAAATAAACTATTATGATTTCTATTTTTGAAAGCATTCTTACTTTACAGAAATTTTAATATCCGCTTAAAACGTTTGCAAAGCAGTGTATATCCATATAAAGCAGCACAGGACTGGTTACTCAACACTAGATCAATAGAAGCTCGGGTCTACCACACCAGATAAGACCCACTGTGCAAAGAGGCCTCAGAGACAATTCAGCATATAATAGCTAGGTGCAAGATTTTAGCAGGGAGAGAATACAATGAGACAAACAACCAATCTGCCAGTATTATGTACTGAAATATCTGCACAGATCATGGTCTGGACCTGCCCAAGTTCAGATGGTAAGTATCACAATGGTTAGTTGAAAATGAAAGGGCTTAGATTCTGTAGGACTTCCAGATCCAGATAAACAAGTAGTGATGTCGCGAACCGTTCACGAACTTGCCGAACATCATGGTGATCGACAAGGAAACTAAAACTGCAATGGTGGTGGATGTGACAATACTCAGTGACCATAACATCAAGAAGAAAGAACATAAGAAGGTGGACAAATATCAAGGACTTGAAGAGAAGCTAGAAAGGATGTGGAAAGTAAAATGAATAGTAAGGACTATAACACTTGAGTTGGAAGAGAGGATTTAGTATATTCAGGTGGGACATCTGAGACTACTATCCAGAATAGCGCAGTTCTGGGAACAGCAAAGATACTGTGCAGAACCCTCATCCCACCCAGAGGGTAAGAAAAGCAATACACAACTCAAATATAAAGGTGGTTGATATATCTGGGCACTTAAGGTTTACTAACCTTGTACAGTAAAATCACATACACAAAGTTTTAAAAAGTGAGCTTTATCCTCAGGCAAGGTTACCAGTTACTGCTCATGAAGACCTTGGAATAAAGTAAACAGAAATTGTCATTCTGTTAGCTGCATCCTTTATATGAAAAGCTTTAGTGAAATAGAGAATACGTTCAATGATGAGTTGTGTTCTTTGCAGTTACATCTAACAGTTACAAAAAGTCAGTTTCATGTGTTTTAGCACAAAGGATGGAAAGTCAAACATGCCGGAAAATAACAAAGTATTCTGCAATGGTTTTATCTCAGCAAGGTACTTTATTTCACTGCAGGCCTATAAACTAAACGCAGACAATTTGCTATAACAAATAAACAAAAAACAAGCAAGCAAGCACTGCTGCTGATACAAAGAAACAAGTCATCCTAATATTGCTGAATATAAAAAGAAAAATGTTTACGCTGTTTGTTGGTTTTCTGCTGTTCATCAGCACAGCTGTTATCATTTTACAATGAAAATATGTTTCAAGCATTATATGACCAGAAACATTTGTTCATTTTGAGCCTTTAAGGGTTTTTGTTTGTAGAAAAATTTGAATACTTCAATATTTATTACTACAAAGAAGACACTATAAAACATTCAACAAAAAGCACTTAATTTTAAGAAGTTTCATCCTACTAAAAGAGAGAGTTATGAAAACATTACTGGGCATTAAGCCCATATCCACTGGGAAAACGATTATAATAAATATAAAAAAGTGGTAGGTTTAGAATTGTTTTTTTTTTCTTCCTGATAATACCTCACATTTGTATTTCATACTTAAACAAATCATTTGCCATCGATGTGCCTGCTTGTTTGCAATGATTGCTTTGATAATAAATACATTTATTCTATATATTTTTAGGTTTTTCAAATACCTCAAAATCTGCATTACTTAGCTAATGTCAAGGTAGGAGTAATAACTCTACACGCAATGCTCAAAGCCATACTGTCCAAGGAGTGGCACAAAGAATAGCAACAAATTATGGGACCTTAGAGGGGCTGGGTTCAACGCAATAGCAAAGTAAAAAAAAACATGCAAGATCCGGGATTCCAGTGGTACACTATAACGATATGTCAAGCCATGTCAAGGAGAACAGAGTAGTCAGACAAGGCAAATTAAGAAAACAAAAGATCTCAGAACAAGGAATACGCTTTTGGCATTACAAGGAAACCACCACAGGGCACTGAACAAATGTAAAACCCAAGTATTTATATGTTTGTGCTGGTTACATGACAGCCCCGCTCCCAATAGAAAATGACGCAATTCCACATTGACGATGTTGGTGTGTGGAAGTTGTGATATAAAAAGGGTCAGAGACACAGAGTCAAGCGTAAACAAAAACAGCAAAGGAGCCAGAGAAGAAGAAGATGGTGTGGTGCATGTGATCGGTGCAGAGAAAGGGTATGTATTCTCACATCTAACCAGAGTGGAAAGAAATTATTTCATTACTTGTCATATACATTTTATCAACATCTAACAAAAGACAGCATAAACAGTATCTGATCACACAAAATATTTTTACCATCATATTTCTACCACCTGCTTTTATACAGCCACTATTCATTTTAAGCAGTTTAGGTAGGTAGTCTGTGTTACAGGTATCTAGAATGGCAATCTGACGGTGATGTATATTCTGAAATTAAGGTCCACACAAGATGTAGATGAAGTTGGAGGTAAGAAATAAAGCAATGACAATCCTGTGGATCTGTGTTGGCTCTGGTGGTTGTAGATCACACCATCTTGTCAAAATTAATAGTACATGTGAAGACGGAGCAGAAATTATTGCAAATTGGAGGGAAGGCCTGTAATATGATTTCCCTGAAATCTAGCACAGTGGGATAATTGAGAATATTATCTCACAGGACATGAGAGGCATTGATTAGGGAGATCACATACGTGAACTTTGGATCTTTGGATTTGCATATATATCTATCTTTCAAATAATCCAACATGAAGTTAATGCAAATAATTGTTACTTGTTCCTGCAATAGAAGTCTTCTAAGCTGTAACGTGCATATTTATACTGTACAATGCCTCACATGGTCACAAATAACTCCACAAGCCTTTGGTAAATAGCTTATAATGTACAAGTCTTGTTCTCTAGCTGAGGTCACAGTCATGTGTTTGTTTTTTCTAGCTTTCCAAGTCAAAAGGTTAAATGGACTATAAGTGAAATATCTCACAGTCTAGCACAGGGGTAGGCAACCTTTTAGCAGCACTGTGCCGATATAGGATTGTGATGTCCCTTAGCGTGCTGATCCTATTTTTTTTAAATTGAGGTGTGTATGCTGCCATATTCTGCTTGTGTTATTTTTACTGTAATTGCTTTGTATCGTTGTATTTGTGCGTATAGGAGTTATTATATTGTATATGTTCCTTAGTACTTTATGGTATCGTGTATGATACCTATAAATGTGGGCTGTGTATGAGGGCTGCTTGTGGAATTGTGTGTGGATGGAAATGTCACCTTGTGTGTTTGGTAGTGTGTGGGGGCTGTTTGGGGTATTGCATGTGAGATGCTGCATGCGGGGTTGTGTGCATGCATGTGGATTGTTAGTGGTGTTGCGTTTGTTGGGATTGTGTGTATGTTTGTGTATGGGCTGTTTGTATTATTTGTATGAGGGGAGGGTTATTTCTGTGTATATCTAGCAGTATGGGTAGCTTCCCTGGGTTCCAGTGGGGACCAGGCTGGCCAGGTATAGCTCAAGTATAGGAGCTGCAACAGCAGCTGCAAGCTGGTCTACTACAGTGTGGATTCCCATTCACAAGTGCTGGGGGGAAGTGATCTGAGATCACTTCCTCTTTGTGCTGCAATGCGTAAATTGAGGATTGTCTCTTCACCACCTCTTCGTATTAGCAGATATCTGAAGTTTCACTGGGACTCCTGATAGGACAGAGCCTGTTTGGCTCTAGCAGCCTTGAGTGCCGTACAAAGTCACCTCGAGTGCCGTGCATGGCACTAGTGCCGTAGTTTGCCTACCCCTGGTCTAGCATATGATACAAATAAACAAAAAAAAAAAAACATCAATATCTTGTAATGAAAATCGGTATATAGTACTAAACAGAAAAACGACAAGGAGGAATACATGTCATTATCTGGTCTCCAGTCATAAGTATTATACTGACTATTAGACTTGTGCAATTGATTTCTTCCAAATTGCAATTTGTCTGAATTTTGGCTGATTGGGGAGTCGTCTGAATTTCTTAATCATCAAAACGAAAAACAGTCATTTTGTTTGATATGTTAGAGGGAGTTCCACCAGTGGCATAAAAAAAGACTTTACACCAAAATGAATTCCTTTACAGCTGATACCAATCAGTTATTGGTCAACCTCTTGAACAGACTTGAATATAATTTTAGGGCAGGACAAGCCCCTTGGCAGGCAAGTCCTCAATTGTTTTTGTGTGCTGGACCAACACTATGTCAGGAATCATGGAGGATGAAAAAGTGTGTTCTCCAGCAGAGTCAATGTAACTCAGATTTCTTCAGACTTTGGCCTATACTAAATATCTATTGCTAACATTGTAACATTAGAACCAAAGGAAAGCACTAGTTGCATAAGCTTAATGTCTTGCTGCCCATATGTCTATTTCTTATTTTTTCTTCTTGATTTTACTTTAGTTTATTAATAAGAGTAGAATCCTTTCTAAAAAGATTAGGGTTGAGTCAAACAGTTGGCTCCAGCATCAATCAATAGCAGTTTTTGGTGTCTGCCTCCAGGAAAATATAGTTTTAATTCTATCAGATGGCTCCAGACATTGACCGTTAAAAACAAAGGCTATATTTGCTGAACACTCAAGTAAATGCTAAGAAGGTTCTCAGTTAGGGATTGAGAAATCCATTACGTAACTATGTATACATTAATTCTTCAGGAACATCACTGATGATGAGAATAATTATGCATTAATTCACTGTCGACATATGCAAAGATATCTGTAATGGAAACAAACCAACTGTTATGGAAACCATAAATACACTATTATACAATTAAGGAAATTGTTAAATGTATGCATATACATACACATACACACACACTCTTAACAGCACAGTAATTTGCCTTACATACAAACACATACATAATTTGTATATTGTAGAAATGTTTTTTTAACATAGTGTAAAATGCACAAATCTTCAGCCAATCAACTGAAGACAAGTTATTAGCCATAACTGCTTCAAGAAGCGATGTTTGTTTCACTGTGAAAAGGGATCAATTGATGGCCTCTTCTATCAAATGCATATCATTATTATTACTATTATACTGAAAGACTTTTAGACTGTAGAGATTACAGTCAGAGATAAACCAAATGCTTCAATATTCTATGTGAATTGAAAGAAAGAAAGAATCATCTTAACAAATTTGTTTGCACTTTTTACCTGAAACCTGAGAGTCTGGACATGCAAATTCTTTCCTCAACAGCATTTAATGGCACCCGGGCTTTTTGCTTACATGAGATAAGCATGGTACTCTAACATACCTCCCAAGAGTCCCCATTTAGGAAGGACTGTCCCTATTTTGCATGCAAATCCCTATGTCCCTCTTATTGTTGGTGTGTCTGATGTGTATAACAAAGCTCCACAACCCATCCGTCAACAAGGTCACTTTAAAACTAAAAGAAACATATTTAATGGACAAACTGACTGCCCAGGTCCGGGGTACACTAAAAACTTTCAGGAAAGTGTGGGAGCCGTGGGAGGCTTACCTGGAGGGAGCGACCTGAGGTGACCGATGTTGCTGCCTGGGCGGCCTCGGAGGGGGGACACACGTCTGGGCACTGCCCCTGGTCTCGGCTCTCCTGGCTAACCTAGTTCCATGCTGAACCCAACTCCCCCACCCCTACCACTTCTTCCTCCCCCCCCCCTTTCTTTTCTTCTCTCCTCACACAATCTCTCCAGACGGGTAATCACCCGACCGATAAAACACTTGAGAGGCGGACATCAGACTAGTGACTAAAGAACCCCGTTGCCAGCAGATGGAAACCCAGGCCTGAAAAACTCCCGGTGGTATACCATGGACGAGACAGGGGTTCCCCGACCACAATACATGACTAGCAGCCTCCATGGACTTGGCCCCAATAGGCTTGTACCCACCGTTACACTATACCCATGTTCTACCATGGTAATGAATAACTGTAAACCTGCAAGATACCCTCCGGCACCAATGTTTTACTAATGATGTCAACGTTGTTACCTTTGTTACATGACTGTTTATATATGTCAAATATTGTTTTGTATACCACTGTCTACCACTCAAGCAAAAATAAAGAATGAAAAAAACCAACAAAAAAGGTTGTGGCGGAGAAGCCAGAGGCACACCACGCCACGCAAACAGCATTACAAGCAACCAGTGGAGGTCGGCACCTGCAATTTTCCAACCAAGCATGCCCAGGTGTACAACCCACAGAAGGGAACACCGCTCCAGCGTCCTAGCCTTACATACCATATCCTCCAAACCACCGCGCGGGGGCTGACATCCAGGGACAGTCTGCCTGCAGCTATGGTACTGCACCCGAAGATCGGCAAGGCTATAAGGATCTGTACCCTGCCCATGGCGGGCACGCAAGTCAAAAACATGGGGACTACCACTCTCTCATTCCCCTGGACTACACCTATTACAGCAGGTTCCAGGCTTCTGTCCCTCTCTACTACCATATCCAGGCGGATCTCACGGTACACAGCCATGGACTTTCATCTAGCTGGCGCGGGGGCCACCTGGGGTGGAAAATCCCAAAGTGTATTCTCATCTGACTGATACTTTCTCTTATTTTTGTCTTCAAGCTACCTAATAATCTAGTGTAATGAAACGTCTGCCTACTCAGAAATATGCATACACTCATTCATTAAGTGTCTGCTACACTTTTTATCAACATAGTCCAAGGAATAGCCTATACAGCCTCATACATACACGCTATGACTTGCACCACACTACTGTCTACTCCTATTAAATTAAAAAATGTGCATAGTTTATCCATGCCATACAACTGTTTATGTATGCTTATGAAAACCCTGGCATTAGCTGTTGTGGCATTGCTAGTGTAACTGTAACATGTATAACCCATGCATGAAAAAATAAAGAATTAAAAAAAAAATTTTAAAAATCTGTTTTTACTATAAGATGAGGAATGTAAAAACTGGGACACTATTTTAACAATGTGTTGGTGGTGTAAAACATCTCCCAACCTTTTTTTCTGCCATTTCTTTCTACCCCATTCTGTATTTTGCCCTTCTTGCAGTCCCCCAAGTCTTTACTTATCCTGTTCCAATAATAATGCCTCTCTTCCATCAGAATAGTGAAAACTAGGAAAATTTTAAATGGCACTTCACAAATCTATGCTCCACGTATAGGTAAGGAGCAACATTCTCCCCTGTACCTGTATGCAGTTCATTATAAGTTAATATCTAGTTATTTATGAATAACATGGATTTATGTAATATGCATAGCACATACATGAAAGCCATGACCCACAGTCACTTCCTGAACCCTACATAAACTCTAGATATATTTTTTTATTTAATACATTGTAGCAAAAACAGAGACTATGAGAACTCTGCAAAAGGGCCAAAACTCAGTAGCTTGCACTTCGGCTAGTCCTTGCTCTGGTCACAAAAGGGTTTCTGCTCACTTGTGCCATTACAGAGGGAACCTATGCCATTTGAATATTATACTGACCCGGCCCACAAAGGCAGCGCAGATCCGAAATGCCGGCAAGTTCTCTCTGCATGAGACAGAAACCCTGGATGATCATTTTAGCTTTCTTTAGGCTTTGACACTAAGGTGTGGCTGATGGTACAGTGATCACGAGGTCCATGTCTGGATCACCCTTTTAATTTAATACATTATCTCCATAAATGCATAAAAGTTAACTCTGGCCTGAAAAAAAAAAAAAAAAATCTATTAAACTACAAATAGAAGGGCAAGACCATAGCCCTTGATTTATTTAGCTGGCTAGTAGACGGTGTACTGTGACCCTGGAACCAAGAGAATGAATGTAGCAGAACCCTTTGAAAACAGCAGAATATCTTAAAAATGAACTTTTTCTTAAATATATTGGTACCTAATGAGTTAAAGTGCAAATATGCATTGACTCTTTACTGAGAACAACTCCTCTGTAGTCAGACAAACCCCAAATATTTTTAGAATGAGTGAAAATAAGAGTACAAACTGCAGCTGGGCAAGCATGCTTCATTTATAATTTCTCTAAATTACTTTCTGAAAGGTCATTCATAAACAAAAATGCTAAAAATAAACTGAACTAATACAAGATAACTGAAGTTGCAAAACACTGCTTTGTGACATTGTTCTTGGTTCACAAAAGCGGATATATAAAAAATGTCAAAACTAAATGTAGCCAGTAACCTATTGTAATCTTGTAATCTATTTTGTATTTTTTTTTGTCAATCTTTATTTTGAAAGTGCAAGTGAGAACATGCGTGCAGTGCCACGACATCAGCTGCATGCAAAGCAATTATTAACACGGTATAACAGTGGCATGGCAAACTGTATATTACATGTGCACAATTTTTTGTTATTTAAATTCTTACTGCGTGCTTAATCCACCAAAAGTGCTGGCTGCATGCTAGCAGGAGCATGGTTAAAATAACATGGTACAATACACAACATAAGCCATTATTGTGAATAGTATTATGGACTAATGGATTAAGAGTTTTACATGTCAAGAGAGTAAATAAAAATAACAGTAAATAAATTCGAACAGCAAAGACTGAGCCCACTATCACTATAGAGAAGTGGTGTAGGGTAGAATTTGGATTTAAGGGGTAGCATAGGCTATGTACCTCGTGCCGTTTTAAAATGTAAGCATTTAAGCTACAGTAGTTTGGCTAGGGGTTAGCACTCACGGCACAGTTACAAAAAACGTGAGTGGAGGGGTTAAAGGGGAATAATCCCTATGCCGGTGGGTGTATTTAGAGTAGGGGGACGCATCCCAATGGGCTGTCATTGTGGTGATAGCGTATTGGTGCAGTGATACAGTGAGGTTATGTGTTATGTGTAACTTAAGAAGAAAGAAATATTAAAACAAACTAAACATAACAGAGTTACTGCAAGTGGTCTTCGGCAGTTTAGGAAACAGCGGTAGTTGCAGGGCTACCCCTCAGTGTAGCAGGCACAAAAGGACAATCCCTTGAGGGATCCCAGGAAGACGACTATGGGTCCAGAGCTGTAAATGCGGCGGTCCTTCTGCGGCAGCGGGAAACCCATTTTCTGTAGGGTGCTGGGTATATCCGAAGCCTCCAATACTTTCAATGTCCGGGATTCGTGGGGGATCAAAAGACTCCTTGACGCACCCCATCTATAAGGCACCTTGTGTTTTGTAAGTTCCAGAGTTAAGGGTCTCAGGGTCCTTTTCCAGTCCAGGGTAGCTCTGGATAGATCTGGGAAGAATGCCAGCTGATGTTCTTCAAATGAGTAGGGTGACTTATTGCGAAAGGCGGTCATGAACGCCTGCTTGTCAGGGCCGTTTTGGATGCAGATTAGGACGTCCCTGTGCACTCAGGAGCTGAGAGCCTGTAGCATCCGTCCAGAGTCATTTTGCTTTTTTGGCAGAGAATAGTTGTGTTAGAAGCCTCCGGAACAGGTGAGGTATTTCAGCCTTGGTGATATCGTCGGGAAGGCCTTGCACCTTTATGTTCTGACACCGCCTCCGGTCCTCCATTTCCGTCATGCGGTACAGTGTCTGTGCAAGTTCTCGCCGTAACGTGGAGAGTTCCTGTTGTAGGGCAGTAAGCTGTGTCTTGTGGCCTGCTGTGGTAACCTCCGATTTGTGTAGGCGTGGCATTACTCTGCTGATCTCTTCATTAAATGCAGAGATGTCAGCAGCGATATTTCAGCATAACTCGTCTAGAAGGGCCTTCAGGGTACCTTCCGTCACGGGTGTCACAGATTTTCGATCAGACTGTAGAACAGCTTGCTTGCCTCTAGTCTGTACCTCCAGTTCCCTCTGATCAGGTAGGGACGTTTCACTGGACGAGCAAGACAATCCATCTGAGAGAGGCGCCATGACAGGCCTCGTGGAGCTTTGGGGCCTCCATAAGAGATCGCTGATATCGGCAGTTGTCAGGGGCTTATCTGTCTGATATTTCTTAGACTTGCCCCCATGCTAGCTGGAGACCGCAGCTCTCTCTTGGGAAGGTTTTGTGGGTCCAAAGTGGTGAAATAGCAGTTTTAGCTTGTGGCTTAGCTGGAGCTCTCGCAGGACGAGTCTGATCAGTCAGGCAGCTGGCTCCGCCAAGTTAAAATGGGGCACTAATCATCATTACAGATTAAAACAAGCAAATCAAATATGAACCAAATCAAAGAGTTTTTACTACCTCCTTTTTATGTATTATATAAATAATTCATTAAAGGACCACTCTAGGCACTGAGACCACTTCAGCTTAATGAAGTGGTCTGGGTGCTTGGTCCAGCTAGGGTTAACCCATTTTTTTATAAACATAGCAGTTTCAAAGAAACTGCTATGTTTATGAATGGGTTAAGCCTTCCCCTATTTCCTCTAGCGGCTGTCTCATTGACAGCCGCTAGAGGCGCTTGCGTGCTTCTCACTGTGATTTTCACAGTGAGAGCACGCCAGCGTCCATAGGAAAGCATTGATAATGCTTTCCTATGCGACCGGCTGAATGCGCGCGCAGCTCTTGCCACGCGTGCGCATTCAGCCGACGGGGAGGAAAGAAGAAGGAGGATCGGAGGCAGAGAGCTCCCCGCCCAGCGCTGGAAAAAGGTACGTTTTTTACCCCTTTCCCCCTTCCAGAGCCGGGCGGGAGGGGGACCCTGAGGGTGGGGGCACCCTCAGGGCACTATAGTGGTCCTTTAAAAAAGCAGAAACGTGATTTTTAAGAAAGATACTTCTCTTTAAATGTACTGCTTTTGCTAAGAGAGGCTGTTACCAACAGAAGACTCCCAGATCAAGTATAGGTTCTGCTAATCAGTATTCTAACCACCAGAACTTTATGGGATATAGTTCAGAACCCAGCTGCAGCTGCTATCCATTTGATCACAACCTTCCAAAATTGTTCACTGCCTAAAGCATCTCTGACATTTGCATTGTTTTGCCAGGTAGGTTACTTCTCCCATATAATTTGATGAGGCTCTCATACACGTATGGTGAAAATGTTACAAACAACCATCTAAAGGACAACGGTCACCAGAATAGTTTTTTTATTATTATTATAAGAATCCTTGAAGCATGTCAAAAGATATGCCATTTTTAAAATGAACTATATTGTTATTATTATTTCATTATTTATATAGCGCCAGCAAATTCCATAGTGCTGTACAATGGGTGGACTAACAGACACGTAATTGTAACCAGACAAATGGACGCACAGGAACAGAGGGGTTAAGGGCCCTGCTCAATATGCTTACATGCTAGAGGAAGTGGGGTATAGTGACACAAAAGGTATAAGTAGGGGTAATGAAATGGGTTGCTAGAAAAGTATTCAATGAGAACTTTGGTTATTTTTGACAGTTGCAGAAGAGGAGTCTTGGGGGGGGGGGAGGAGAACACGCTAACAGTTTAAATTACATGCTTTCCTGAAGAAGTGCATTTTCAAAGATTTTTTGAAGGAGTGGAGACTGGGTGAAAGTCTAACAGAGAAGGAAAGGGAGTTCCACAGAAAAGGTGCAGCCCTGGAGAAGGCTTGGAGGCGAGCATCAGATGTGGGAGTACGGACATGTAAATTACCTGAAAATCTGGCCCCTTCTTTTACAGAAAGCTAGATCCCTCTGCCATATTCATACACCTTTGGTCAGACTGAGGTAAAAACCGACTAAGTCTCCTGCTTTACTAACTGCACAGAGCGGAGATGTTGTCAGCCATCGCCCTGTGTAGTCTACCTGGTCCGAATTCCACCTGCATTGGTAATTCTCATATTTACGAAAGCCATATGCGGTCACAATTCGGTTGGTCTGACCAAATCTGTAACATTGGATTGGATGAAGAAATCACGGTTTTCCGAATTTATCCGAACCAATTTACACCACTGGAATAGCTAATTCTCACTCACTTCCTATTTGCAAGTGAATAGAAAAATAAATAAATTTGGGTGACAGTTGTCCTTTAAGTCAATGCATATGTATCTGCATGACACACACACATTTTGTCCTTTTTTGTGAGGGCCTGTACATGGTATCTGCTTGCTCATACAGATTGAGGATAGGTTACTGGATAGAACACATATCTCTAAAGGAGCACTCCAGCCTAGTGAAGACCTGCAAAAGAGACCAATTACTAACAGGGTTAATTACTAAAGTGAGAATTCAAAGTGAATTTAAAATATAAGGCCAGAATAGCAAAGCGGGAAGCATGACTAATTTTGAATATTTTTCCAGTTTCGCTAGTTTGACCTTAAATGTGAAATTCAGATTGTATTTTCATTTTAGTGAATAAACATGCACATTTGTCTTTTTAAGATTTATTTTCAAAAACTTGGAGTGCTGAAATCAACCCAAAATGTCCACTTAATTACAAAATAAAATAAAAATGTAATAATGTAAAACAAGCCTAATAATTATCTTTGGTCGGTGATTAATAATGGCATTGTTAGCAGCTACAAATTAATACACAGATAGGTTTATTGATTCTCATTTACAGAATAGATTGTGAGTCTCACATCCATCCATGGGAAGTAGAGAATTTTCCATCACTGAATTTACATTTCCCACAAGTGGAAATACTACGGAGAAACGTTAAACTGCAGCATGAATTGAATGATGCAAAGGAAGCACTGTAATCTGAGCAGATGTATTGGAAAACTGTAAACGAAATAAATAATCGATAGACGTTTTGAGGCTTGAAAACAAAGTGGGCAGAATGAATTATTAAACTCCCTCGTGTTTTCAGTAATAACTATTAAAAGCCTTTTCGTAGTAATCGCTAGATATGCACACAGGGATTAGGAAGAGACAGGCAATTGATTTCAAATTATTCCAGGTATGCATGAGTTATTTCTAATGATATGTGGTTTTAAGAATGATCACTGCCTAATAGTTACAGGATAAAAATAAGTTACTGTAGAAATATATGACATATAAACCTTTTCTCCCCCGCAAGAACAAGAACATTTTCAAAAAAGCAGTTCAATGTGCTTTAAATTTGCTCTAGTAGGGAAATGAGGAAAGCTCTGTAAACTGCACCAAAATAAATTGTCATACATTTTCTTTGAACAAAAAGTAAACAAAATATGATTGCTTTTTTAATGGCTATATATAAGGTAATCATCTGACATGTATGCTTCCTTTCCCTTTTCTGCAGATATAAAAGTATTTACTACATAATTTCTTTAGCACTAGAAGAAAATGCCAAGATTTTATTTAAAAACAGAAACGAAAGGAATTCTTAACAAGGCTTTCATAATGCATGTTGGGGCCAAAGTTCATTTCGATTCAATGTCAGGCAGCTCCAGTTGATACTATTGTTTAATGTGGGCAAACGTATTTGATGCTAAAATAACCCCATTATATTCTCTATAAGGACCGTTACAAAACGTAGCTATTGCAATAGGTTACGATAAACGGTTCCACCCTACGTATAGCCTTCCCGTATAACCTTCCGAATAACAGTATATCACTTATCCTGAACTGCACCATTTAATGCATGCTCTTTAAAAGGGGACAGTCTTTTTTTTTTATAAATAAAATTAAAAAAGGACCCCCTCCCCCCAATTTTCTTTCTATGCAAATGCCTGAATTACATATTCCATAAACTTTGGCTGGAGACAGGTTCACGGGATAAGATCAGACCCTTATTCTTAATTCATGGAGCATAGGCTGCTACTGAGGCAGTGGTACAGTGAATAAAAGATGCCTTCTTAAAGGATATGTTGACAGCTCAGGTAAGGGACACGATGAAAACATCTGACGTAATATTGGGACTCATGGCTGACTGGTTATATGGGAAGACAGGGCGGTGGGTGGGTCAGGAGGTCAAGTCCATGCGTTATTTAGAGCTCCTCTGCTTCTCCCGAGATTCCCTGGATAGTCACCCCACATACTATCCAGCTCTTCTTATACTATACTGCTTACTGTATATCCAACGAACTGACTTCTTGTCCTTATCTTACTCTATTCCTTTCTACCTCTTTTCTGCCATCTACCTTGACACCTGCTTGGTTGAGAATAACACATGGCATGGCATATTCAAGAATTTTATTCTCAAATACTGACCATTTACTTTGACCGTTGGAACATAAGAATTTGAGCAGACACTTAATTTTTTCATGCAGTACAATGTATACGTACCACCGGTCACATTATTGCATTTTGTCTTGTTTTCTTTTTACTCTTTTCTTTATTTTCTTCTTATGTTTAAATATTATCCATTGTAATATTTTATTGACTGTCATTGCAAAAAAAAAGTATGAATTCCCTGCTTCTTGCGCCTTAGATATTAAATTTTTTTCTATTTTAATTGTTTGGGCATTCTTCATAACGCATTATTGATACTAAAAATAGGCACCTGAAAGGCACCATTCATGAAGAATTTACATTTTAACCCCTTAAGGACCAAACTTCTGGAATAAAAGAGTTAAAGAGGCACTCGAGGCTGTAAAATTGCAAACATGCATTTGTTATAATCCAGATATTTTGCAGGATGAACAAGCCTTATGTAAAACGTAGTGGGCTTTATATTGCAGCACAACACAAAACACAATTTTATAGTATACACGCTATTTGCAGACTAGTTTTGGCCGTATCCGTATTTTGTTTTTATTTATTTTTTAAGTGGAACTATAAAACTCCCACGATCTTTAACATGTTTAGTTATCTCTATATTTAAAAATATGCATTTGAGAGATGTGAAAAATAAAATGAAATGTAGAAATCCACACCTCATTATCCTGCAACTGGATGCCTCCATCTTAGCTCCCTGTCATCCATTGTTATAAGCTCTGTCCTTTGCACCTGTTATCGGTATAGGGAAATGTTTCTATTTCTCCTCTTCATTAACAATACATTTACAACAACATTTGTCCTGGCATTGTCTGGTCTGCACTGGATTATGGGGTCATTTGCTAAATATTTAATATAACATTTACAAGAAAAAAACAACCCAGAGCATCTCATGGAAACAGGATAAAATACGTTTTAAGTGATTTTCAATGTTTTATTCAATTGTATCAATTTCAGAAAAGTAACAGTTCCTCTTTAACAGAAAGGGACATAGGTATAAAGGCTAAATTTCAGATAGTAAATAAACTAAAATACAGGACCAGTACAGGCTTTACACAATGGGACAATAAAAGGAAAAGGCCAACATGGGAGGAGACCAGTGGCCCGACGCCTAATTATGGGAAGCCCATATCAGCAGCTGTACATACTTTAAGGTGTTTCTGCCAAGAAAAATCAAGGGTTATACAGACAATTAAGTAACTAAGTAGAATTCTTGTTCCAACGTTTCAGAGACTTTATCCAATAATTGTTGAAACAATCAACAAATTGTACCATTATTTAGTAATAAAACACATACATAAACATAAAGCGAAGCTATCAAGGCAAACACAGTACACAAGGAAGGGCTGAGTGTGCACGCTGTGTACATGTGCATAATCCCAATGAAAGTAACAGGAGGAACATGATTGGTTGGAATGTCCCATCCACGTCTGCTGCAGGGATTGGATCAAAGGCTGATTACAGTTAGAGAGCTCATACAGAACCAAAAGAAAAGATTAGATCCTTACTTATTTTTCTATTTTATGCTAGCACACAATTGTGTAATATATGCAGTGCTGGATTAGGAGCCTCATGGGCCTGGTGCAGACGATTACGATGGGCCTAATTATAGAATCATAGAGACAGAAAGGACAAAAAAAAAAGAAAAAGAAATCAGACACACTACCCAGGTGTCTTGCAGTTAATGTAGGTGGTGCTGTAACACTGCTGGAAGCATTTTAAACCTACACATATCCTTTGTCAATCTATTCCTTCCATCTCACAACCTATTCTATCCATCTTACAAGCCCCACAGCTCTCATCTCCTGTCTTTCATTAATCACTAATTCTGAATCCTCTCTCCTCAGGACTCATTTGTCCACTCCTCTCCTTCATACTAGCAGGCAGAAGCTTGCTCCTGGTATGCAGGCTGTGACAGACTAAGAGGTGGATAGTTAGTGCAGCATAAAAAAAATATATGCCACAAGATGACAGGAGGATATCTGGCTGTTCGAGAGATAGAAACAGCAAGAGCAATAGCACAGTGTACAAAGTCACCATTAAAGGGACACTGTAAGCGCTGTAACTTCTTCAATTCACTGATGTGGTTATTGTATCTGCAGTCCCCCAGCGTTGTTCTTCCATTTAGTGCTAAACCATTTTTAATGTGTCAATGCTAAACAAGAGTCCCCAGCAGCCCACCCCATCTGTGCTGCATTGGTTAAAGGACCACTATAGTGCCAGGAAAACATACTCGTTTTCCTGGCACTATAGTGCCCTGAGGGTGCCCCCACCCTCAGGGTCCCACTCCCGACCGGCTCTGGAAGGGGAAAAGGGGTTAAAACTTACCTTTTTCCAGCGCTGGGCGGAGAGCTCTCCTCCTTCTTTCCTCCTACGTTCCGCCCCGTCGGCTGAATGCGCACGCGCGCATTCAGCCGGTCGCATAGGAAAGTATTTACAATGCTTTCCTATGGACGCTGGCGTGCTCTCACTGTGAAAATCACAGTGAGAAGCACGCAAGCGCCTCTAGTGGCTGTCAATGAGACAGCCACTAGAGGCTTTGGGGGAAGGCTTAACCCATTAATAAACATAGCAGTTTCTCTGAAACTGCTATGTTTATAAAAATATGGGTTAACCCTAGAAGGACTTGGCACCCAGACCACTTCATTAAGCTGAAGTGGTCTGGGTGCCTAGAGTGGTCCTTTAATGAGAAAGAATTAGCCTGAGCAGCAATGGATGGCTGTGATTGTCAGTGTCATCTAACTGCGTTCGGCCTATCTCAGCATTTATTGCTGGTATGAATTGGTAAAACTAGAAGGAAGTGTGTAAACTCTGTCTTAGACATACCTTCTGTGGGAGTGAGCTGTGGGCAGTCAGGAAAATCTATGGTTAAACATTGAATGAAGAGACAGTACCTGAGGACTCCAGGCACTATAACCAATTCAGTGAGGACAAATGTCTATGGTGCCCACAGTGTCCCTTATAGTTCACTCTGTCTAGACCCTCTCTCACGGACAACCCAGGCCAATTAGGGTTAAAAACCCTTAGTCAATTACCAGATTCCAGCGACTATGTCCCTCTGTGCTGGGCCAGAACTCTGCCTCCTCCGACAGAGGTGGTGGAGGGGAGGGGGGGTGAGAGAGAGTAATGCGTATGCGGCAAGTGAATTAGGTCATCCCCAAAGGAAAGCACAGAGTCAATGCTTTCCTATCGGGATTTCAGTGACGCTGGATGTCCTCATGCAGAGCATGTGGACATCCATTGTCAGTTAGATCCCAGAAGCGCCTCAAGTGGCTGTCTGGTAGACACCCACTAGAGGTCAATTTAGTGCTGCAATGTAAAGCATTGCAGTTTCTCTAAAATATCAATGTTTTACATTGTAGAACTAAGGGCAATGAGCTGAATTGGTCTAGGTGCCTATAGTATTCCTTTAATTTAATTATTTTAGAGACGGCAAGCTCCCTTTCTCCATTCCTTCGGCACAAAAGTTTATAGGAAAAGCATGGGAGGAGTATTAAAACAATCAACAAAAATATATATATTTAGTATAAGGATCGATGTGCTTATTCCATGGGAATGGGCTCTAAACTGCATCTCCCTAGCGACTGTTAGTTCAAGCCTGAATGTATGAACAATGCATTAAAAAAGGCAAAGCCTAAATACGACTTTGGAGTGTTCTTCTAACTGGCAAGAAAAAAATAAATTAAATTTCTAAATTATTTATTAATTACAAATACATTATCCGCTGACAAAAAAAAATAAGTTGTAGTATTTTAAAACAAAATGAAGTAACTTTAAATATACCCACAACCTACAAAAAAAAATAAAAAAATCTTGTATGCTCACGAAGCTTGTGACATTTACATGCAAATTTCAAGGTAAACTGTGATATTTCACTTGTTTCTCAAACTTGACAGTTGTAATAGTTACATAAACAAAGCAGGGAGTATTCACAGTTGGGGAGATTTACCAAGGTGCTCTTTTCTGAAATGAGGTACGAAGTGCTAAATTTCGGGCAATTGTCTAGAAACTTAAGAAACCAGCAGACTCAATCCACTGGTGACGCCTACATTTTCACACCACAGAGCATGTCTGACTTAGAGAATTTTTCCAGTTTGGCTATTTTGTACTTAAATTTGAAATTCACTTAGAATTCTTACTTTAGTATATAACATAGAATGTGACGGCAGATAAGAACTATTCGGCCCATCTAGTCTGCCCAATTTTCTAAAATACTTTAATTAGTCTCCTATTTCTAAGATAGCTTTATGTCTATCCCACGCATGCTTAAACTCCTTCACTATATTAACCTCTACCACTTCAGCTGGAAGGCTATTCCATGCATCCACTACCCTCTCAGTAAAGTAATATTTCCTGATATTATTTTTAAACCTTTGCCCCTCTAATTTAAGACTATGTCCTCTTGTTGCGGTAGTTTTTCTTCTTTTAAATATGGTCTCCTTTACTGTGTTGATTCCCTTTATGTATTTAAAAGTTTCTATCATATCCCCCCTGTCTCGTCTTTCCTCCAAGCTATACATGTTAAGATCCTTTAACCTTTCCTGGTAAGTTTTATCCTGCAATCCATGAACCAGTTTAGAACCCTGTTTGATACCAGTTTATAACCCAGTTTGATAAATCTGCCCCTATGTATTGTGTGAACATAGCAAAGCAGCTTCTAGCAGGAATCTGACCAATGATCGCTTTCGGAGCATCATAAGTGAGTAAGTTGTCCTTAACAAGAAATTGCCACAGAGTATGTTTTTTTTCTTACATCTGCAGCACGAACCACCCTAATAATTTAATCAAAGGGGTGAGTTAACAAGGAACTGTCACTTCCTAAAAAGTTACACTTCTGCATTAAGGATTTAAAGGGTGCAACTAAGAATAATAAAAGTGAATACCCAACGCCCACATTGATCTAGATCACAGTAATTATATTACTCCAAACACAGAGACTGTTTTGTTCACGGTTTTAAGGAAGATGCTTAAAGAGACAGTCAAAGCACCAAAATCACTTAATCTTAATGAAATGATTTTGGTGCACAGATACTGTCCCTGCAGACTTGTAGATGAAAACTGTTTACATTATGCAAATTTCAACTCCAAGACTGACTGTCAGACACAGAGCGTTGGCAGATTGCAAATTGCCAATTGTCTTTCATGGGCCATGTGTCTCAATGCTTCTCTAGGAGAAACATCTGATTGTAAAGTCATCATCCTAATGTCTTGTTCAGATGGCAGATTGAGCTGCAGCTAGGAGTCTGTCTCGGTACAGCAATAACTAAATTTTGTTTTTTAAAGCAAACCCATATTCTAAAAGTAAAAAAATAAATAAATTAAAAAGTCAATATCTGCATATAAACAGTTCATTATTATGTTCTCTTTATTAGAATATTCCATTAATGGCATCAAGTGTAAACAGAAAATGTGCCTGCTTATAACCTAAAATGTTCTTTATTTATTTATTTATATATAAAAAATATATTTTACCAGGATGGATACATTGAGATTCCTCTCGTTTTCAAGTATGTCCTAGGTCCACAAAACATTGCATTGTTACAATATTACAAAAATACTATATAATATATATATATATATATATATACATATATACACACACACACACACACACACACACACACACACACACACACACATATAAATTGAATACATTACAAGTAATAAATATATAAAATAAACATATCACAGAGAAGATGCAACCTTTTCATGATGGCAGTTGTGTTAGTTTGGTTACTGAATTGTTTTGTTTCTAAACCTGTTGAATAAACCAGGAAGAAATGTCATGAAGCAAACTTACTAAATACTTTAGGGCAAGGGTAGACGATCTTTGGTACGTGAGATGTTGTGGACTGCATCTTCCATAATGCTCTTAAAGCCTTAATGCTGGCAAAGCATCAAGGGATATGTAGTCCACAACAGCTGATGTGCCTGTGGTTGCCTCTGTTTTAGGGCACAGATAGAAAACAGAACATTAATTAAACAATTTGACGAGCTGTGCATTACCATAAAAACATACAAGCCCCAAAATCCACAATTACACGTTTTCAGTAACAAAACACTAATATCCCTGGGTAAATTATACCTCCTCTGAACAAAATTCAACAAACTTCAATAATAACATCAGCAAATTACTGAGAAAGAAGGGTCTCCCGTCCCTACACATCAAAGCTTTAAATTACAGTTATCTGATGACTATTAACTCGTCATGTCTTACATAATAGATCTATAGAAATAGAGAGATAGATACATAGAAAGATCCACAGACAGACAGAGTAGAGATAGATCCACAGATATACGGACACAGTACTGATCTCACACACTATTCTTTGGTTGGTCACATAGTTAAAGCATTGAGTAGTCCACGTTGCTTTTTAATAACTCTGCTAATTGTAGCCTCCAGAGTTATCATTGCAATAATACCCTATTACTCTCTTACCTAGGTGTTGGGGTACCAGCCTGATAACCAGGAGAAAGGGGGGCTCAGGCTGATGTCAGCACCATATTACGTGGATAGAGTGTCAAGGTGACTAGATAGGTGAAGCCCACCTCCCTAAATAGTAAGGGGTGGAGAGGAACGAAAAATAGAATAACAGACAGACAGAGAGAGAGAGAGTGGGCTAAGCATTGCCTACCTGGCAGTCTGATCAGTGAGGCAGATGATCCCGGAGAAATGGGTGGCAGCGGGGAGCAGAGAGGAGTGAAAAGAGGGAGGGAGTGGAGCAGAAAGGAGGAGACAGGAGAGCAATGAATGGGAGCCATGGAAGAGAGAAGGGGTAGAGGAAGAGGAGGAGACATTCTAATCGGGGGAGAGAGAGAGAGTGGGGAAGGGCAGGGGGCAGATTTGGGGGAATTAAAGCCCCCTCACCCCACTATCACTATGACTGGGGGGTGTAGGGAGTCAGCCATGGAGCACAGTCTCTGGGGGAGTCAGCCATAGAGCACAGTGTCTGGGGGGCCACAGAGCACAGTAAGTCTGGGCCCAGCCATAGGCTACTAGTGTCTGGGGGTCAGCCATAGAGCACAGTGTCTCGGGGCCCAAATGGCTAGAGCGCTTGAAAGGTTCCGGGACGTTTGGCATGCATTGGAAAGTGTCTGGGGAGTCAGCCATAGACAGTGTCTGGGGGGGAGTCAGCCAGAGCAGCCAGTGCCTGGGAGGGGGAGCCAGCCATAGAGCAGTGTCCGGGAGCTCCACCGGCGGAGCAGTGTTCTGGGGAGGCCAGCCACAGAGCACAGGTCTGGGGGAGTCAGCCATAGAGCACAGGTCTGGGAGGGGGGGGAGCCAGCCATAGAGCACACAGTGTCTGGGAGCCAGCCATAGAGCACAGCGTCTGAGCCAGCCATAGAGCACAGTGTCTGGGAGTCACCATAGAGCACAGTGTCTGGGAGCCAGCCATAGAGCACAGTGTCTGGGAGGGGGACAGCCATAGATAGCCATGGGTCTGGGAGTCAGCCATAGAGCACAGTGTCTGGACAAACCATAGAGCACAGTAGTCTGGGGAACAGCCATAGAGCACAGGTCTGGGAGGGGAGTCGCACCATAGAGCACACACAAAGTGTCGGGAGCCAGCCATAGAGCGCCAAAGTCAGCCATAGAGCAGTGTCTGGGAGTCAAGCCGAGCAGAGCACAAGTGTCTGGGAAGTCAAACAAGCAGAGCACAGTGTCTGGGGAGTCAGCCATAGAGCACAGTGTTCATTGGTGGGGAGTCAGCCATAGAGCACAGTGTTCGGGGAGTCAACCATGGAAAGCAGTCTGGGAGTCAGCCATAGGAAAGAAGGCGTCCGTACCGCTATACAGTGTCTTGGGGAGCACAGATGCTTTGCCACCCCAGCCGCTGTGATCTTGGATTCCCCCTTGGCTGGCTGAGCATGATGGGCGCTAGTAGCCCCTATTAGCACTAGCCGGCTTGGTTAGTGATCATGTGACATGGCGCTGGGTCACGGTGTCAGTGACCTTTCTTCCCCGTTACCGCGTGCTGCAGGTTTGGGCAGCGGGGAACGTGACGCCTGCTTAGCAACCGTTGCCACGGCGGGGGGGGGGAGGGGGCGTCGCACTGGCGGTGACGCGCTCTCGTGCGAGCCACCAGGTGCTTGCTTCCCCGAGATCTTCGCTGGGCGCATGCGTGTTAGAGACCTGAGGGCGCCGCCGCCATTTTTTGTTCTGGTTGTTAAAAAAAAAAAACCTGTCCGATGAATTTGGCGTGAAATGAGTTGTGATTTATTTACTAACGTTTTTGGTAAAATGAAAAGGCAGCAAGCTTGTAAGGGTTGGCTAATGATGATAACATACATTGTAGTTTACTTGTGGTGGGGTTGTGATTGTAGGGCAAGAAGATCTATGAGAGAGAGAGAGAGAGAGAGAGAGAGAGAGAGAGAGAAAGTGTGTATTTTTTTGAAAAAGGACTAGTTAAAAAGTTCGATGGATGTCTCAAGTAAAAATAAATTCAAGTCTTAAAAATATGTCTAATTACGTTGCAATAAATTCCATCAATTGGACCCAAGCTAGCTATGCCAAGAAAAAACAGCCTCAGATGCTGATAGGAAAATATTTCTTAATAAATACAAAGACTGTACAGGCCTCCTAATTATCCCGATATCAGCAGGGAGAACAGACCCAATTCTAGGATCCTCGCCTGCTCTCCTGAATTTGGTCCCTGGTGACCTGTGTAGTTAGTTGCATAAATTATTAGTAAGTCCCCTAAAATTTATCAGAACAGCCCCACCCTGGCCATACCCCCACTCAGACCCCTAAAATTAAACAGTCTTTTTTTGTTCATTTGAAAGTTTGGGAGCTTTGCAGGCTGATCGCAACCACTAGGGCAATCTAGACCTGATGCCTCTAAGGTCTCTCAGCACAAATGATACCGCAACACTAGATGATTGTTAGGCAATCTTTGGGTCTTGCCAGTGAGATGCAGCTTATATCCCTCAAGGCCAGTGTTTACCAATTGGTGTTCCGCCCAAATTTCGGGAAACAAAAAGGCTGCCGCGATAATTGAGGCGGGCAGCGAGGTCGCCAAGCAGGGGAGAGCGCTCCCTCACTGCCCGCCTCAATTATCGCGGTGGCCATTATTGCGGCACGCACAACAGTGATGCTGGAGCCAGAATATGACGTCATTCCAGCTACAGCATCACTAAGAGGTGCGCAAGGGAGCTGAGCACGAAGATTACTGCTCCCTCACCGCCCGCACACCAGCCACTCAGCCCAGCAGCCACACTGGACCCCAGGGACCGCACGCCAGCCACTCAGCCCTGCAGCCTCACTTGACCCCACGGACTGCATGCCAGCAGCCCCACTGGACCCCAGAGAAATAGAGACTCTATGCCAGCACTCCCAAATGTAGGGAGACTGTGTGGAGTGAAATTTAAAAAAATAAATTGTGTGTGTGTCTGTTAAGGAGTTTTTATGTGTGTTTGTCAGTGAGTGTGTGTATGTATGTGTGTTTGTCAGTGAGAGTGTATGTGTGCTTGTCAGTGAGCGTGTGAGTGTGTATGTGTTTGTCAGTGATAATGTATGTGTGCTTGTCAGTGAAAGTGTATATGTATTTGTATGTGTGTTTGTCAAGGAGTATGTGTGTCTGTCAAAGAGTATGGGTGTCTGAGTGTGTGTCAGTGTGTCAAGGTTTGTGTATGCATCACTGGGTGTATCTGAGTGTGTGTCAGTGTGTGTATATGACACTGTGTGTATGTGTCGATGTGTGTATCTGAGTGTGTGTATGTGCCAGTGTGTGTATTTGTGAGTCAATATGTGTGTATGTGTCACTGTGTGCATCTGAGTGTGTGTATGTGTATATGAGTGTCAAGGTGTGTGTGTCTGTATGTCAGTGTGTGTATCTGTGTGCCACTATGTGCCAGTGTGTGTATATCTGTGTGTCAGATACATACACACACACACACACAGATACACACTGACACACAGATATACACACGGGCACATACAAACACAGATACACTTTGACACATATATACACACACCTTGACACACAGATACATGCATACACACTGTGTGTCAAGGTGTGTGTATTTGTGTGTCAGTGTGTGTATCTGTGTGCTACTATGTGCCAGTGTGTGTGTGTGTATCAGTGTGTCAGATTCATACACACTGACACACAGATACACACACTGGCACATACAAACACAGATGCACACACCTTGATACACAGACACACACCAGCACATACAAACACAGGTACACACACTTTGACACACAGATACAAACACCTTGACATACAGATAGATACATACACACACACACACAGATACACACTGTGTGTCAAGGTGTTTGTATCTGTGTGTCAGTGTGTGTATCTGTGTGACACTATGTGCCAGTGTTTGTGTATGTTTGTGTCAGATACACACACACATATACACATTGACACACATATACACATACGTGCACATACAAACACAGATACACACACCTTGACACACCGGCACATACAAAAAACTGGGAGGGGGGTTTCCACGATGTTGATACACTATGTCAAAGGGTTCCACAGGAAAAAGTAATAGGGATCCTCTGCTCTTTTAACTAAGGGACACCCTAAGCAAGTGCAGTGAAGCAAAAACAAGACTCTGAGAGCAATGGGAGCAGGTAAAAACGTAGTTGCTTTCCCTTAAGTTGCCTACCCGCTCAGGTCAATATGACCCTGCCCATAAGCATTGGCGTAGGAACCGGGGGGGGATGGGGGGGACGCATCCCACCCAGCAAATCATGCGGGGGGGACAGGTTATGGGGAAATGCCCCCAGCTCCGCCGGCCCCCCCATGCTGCAGCCGCCCGAGCGCTCTGTAGAGAGTCTCAGGCTGCTGCAGCTTTGCCCGGGCGGTGCGTCCATGAGGGCAGACCGCATCGCCTGGGCGCAGCCTGAGGAGAGGGGCTGACAGGAGGGAAGCGCTCAGCGCTCCCTCCTGTCACTCCCTCACTGTAGCATGGCCGAGCCCTGTATCATGGTCCGCGGGTACAGGGAGCATCTCTCTCCTGTACCCGGCCGGACTAACAGGAAGTGCACACTGAGTGTGCACTTCCTGTTAGTCCGGCCGGGTACAGGAAACAAAAGCTCCTGTACCCGCGACTATACAGGGCTCGGCCACGCTACAAACTCGACAGGGAGGGAGGGGAAGAGAAGGGAGGGGGAGAAAGAGAGTGACGAGGGAGGGAGAAAGAGAGTGACAAGGGAGGGGGAGAAAGAGAGTGACAAGGGAGGGAGAGAGATTGACATCCATCACACACACACACACAATCGCACAATCATGCAAACCTTACACACACAGAAACACACAATGCATTCTTTACACACACTAAATGCACCCCGTACACACACTCAATGCACCCCTTACAGACGCACACACTGCATCCCGTACATACACAGAAACACACCTTGCAGCCCTTACACATACAAACACAGATTCACACAATGCATTCCTTACACACATATCAGGACATCCCCTACACACTCCATCCCCTGTGAACAAACTCATTGGTGGAACATTAAGGTGGACCCTGGGACCCAGACCTTGAGCTGTGTAAAGGGCCCCCAAGAAATGGAGCTTCTTCCCGTTCTCCCAGAACATTGATTTTTGTGACCACAGTTACAAACCGCCTCCAGAGAGCCTGTTCTACACCAGACCAGTGGAGCCAGACTGCAGCTAGAGCCCGTCATCATCCTCATCTGGTTGTAAGTAGGCAATCTAGTATATTATTAGTGGCACTAATCTCTAATTTACCTCACATTAAAGAAACACTATAGTTGCCAGAACCACTGCAGCTTAATGTAGTGGTTCTGGTGTCTATAGCCTGTCCCTGCAGGCCTGTTAATCTAAACAC